ATGACAGTATGCTCCCAACCTGCTGGCGTGGGAGCGTCTGGCTTGATGACGTTGTTGTACAAGTCGAGCAGACACCGTCGCAGTAGACCACCGCCTTTCTTCAGCATCTCTGCCACTATGCCGTTCTGGTCAGCTGCCTTGTTGTTTTTGAGCCCACGTAAAACATGATCCAACTCATCTCCCGTAAAATCCGGCATGATAGCGTCTGCGCTGGAATCCTGTTTGTACGGATTGCCATTCTTATGAATATCTTGGTAAAGAGCCTGGTAAAAGTCAGCGAAAACGTTTGCGATACTCTGCCGGTCCCGAACTATATTCCCACCTTGGGATGCCATCTCTGTTATGAATTCCTTGTGCTTGCTCGACTTCATGCCAGAGATGCTCTTGAGGCCCTGAAATTTCTGGAGAATTTCGTCGATTGCCGTTCGTCTGCAAGCTCTCTTGATAGCGCGGGTCTCCTTCTTGATCAATTTGCTCAAATGCCGCCGGGTAGGAAAATCTGCCATAGGCGTGTCGCGGCGTCTCTGCATGAGCGCACGCACGGTTTCAGATGCAAGTCGGCTCGTGCTTCCGGTCTCCTCTCTTTGGGGCGCATGTTGGAGTGCATCTCTGAGCTGTTCTTCAATAATCTCGCAAGTGATCTGGAGGCGACTGTGCGCGAGCACGTGCTCCAAGCGATCGGTGAGCGTGTTCACATAGCTGTCGATACTACATGGTGGCCACTTTGGAATGTTTTTCTTGGACTTCGGACTCCGCTTCGTCGTAGTCTCCTTCCTCTCCGGGGCCGAAGGCAAAGATAATTGGAGACGAAGTGCGCCATGATCTGAACCAAGATCAAGATCAAGAACGGCTTCGCAATCCCGGACAGTGGCCCAAACGGGCTTGCTAGCCAAGAAGTAGTCAAGTTGTTTCTTATCCCTTTGTGGCGAGATGTAGGTATAGAGCTGGTGGTCATGTTTGTAAAAGAACGTGTTCAATATTCTTAGTCGCGTGGAGGCCGCCCATTGCTTCAACCAGAGGCCCCGGACATTCGTGTCGCCATAAGCATACTGCCCCACCGCGCGCTTGGCGTCTTCCTCGGTCTGCTGGCCCACTTTCGCGTTGCAGTCGGCCCCTATAATCATCATGCGCTTCTCCTTTTGGGCTTCTTGGCTGATGCGCTTCAGAATGTCATAAACTTGTTGAACATGCTTATCTGCGTAACCACCGTGAGGAAAATATGCAGTAACAACTCGAAAACGATGACGTCCACTCCCAACGTCGACATAAGCAACGCGCTCATTCACAGGATGGAAGGCTTGTACTTGATGTACCCATCTGCGATGAACTACGATCCCCACGCCTCTATGGTTGTCTGTATGTCCACATCCCATAAATGCATGACCCTCGCTTGTGGTCCAGAGCTCGCTTTTGACAGTCCGCCACGTCTCATTGAGGGTCAAGAAATCCCATTCGAGAGTAGATAATTCGGAAAACAACTCGTCCATCCGGTCTCCATTGCTCAGGCCTCGAGCGTTCTTGTGATAGATCGTGCAAGTATCATGGGAGCGAGAGTCTGGATAGAACGATAAGGCACGTGAGGGTGAAGGCAATGAAGATGAGCAGGAGGAAACTGATGAATGTGGAGATGAAGGAATACAAGGAGCTTCTGAAATCGTAGGAATATTGGTGCGACAACGCATGGCTGCCACAGGGAAGTCGCCAGCAACGTCTTTATACGTACCGCGTCCCCCCCCCTTCGTGGTGAACGTACTTGTAGTGGTACTGCCGGCACGTAGGCCGTCCCTCTTACAAGGTCTCGTGAGGGAGTCAGATTTGCCACGCTGGCTCAGGTCTCGCTTTGAAAGCTTCCCGAAACGCGTGGGCAATAGCATCCTTGTCAATCGTATATTTCGCAACCCCACTGTAATTCCAGAGTAGCTTGGTAGGCTCGTCCCCGGGGGCGGGCTCGATTTTGAGAATCGGGTCCCAGTCAACCGAGACGGTCCCCCTGTGTTTGTCTGCCCTCCATGGCAACTGAATGCTGGAGCTTCATGATGTCGAACGCCTTCCTCGTCTGGATTTCGGTCTTAATATGTTTGCCGTTCTTGTCCAAGGAGATGTACAAATTCTTCAACTCCCCCGTAGCGGTCTGGACACGAAAGTCTCTCCACTTGCCATGGTTGCGGAGTAAATCATATGCTTTTTGAACTCGTCGCGATGCTAAGCCGGATGCCCCTTTGAATCGGAGCGTAAAGCGTTTAGCAGGCGTAGTACCTTCAATTGTCCATTGGTCGCGTTGGATGCCCAACTTACCAATCCACTCTTCTATGGACTTGAGGGCCTCTGTGGTGGTGAAGAGCTCCGCGCAAGACAGCTTGAAGATAGTTGGGTCCAAGTCCCGCTCCCAATTCGACCCATTCGTAGGTAAAGGGGTGGGAATGGAAGCTTCGGCCTCGGCAATGATCTTCAGAATCTTCTCGATGGAGGCTTGCATCTCTTTTTGATCCTGTTGTAGTGCAGTCTGCTTAGCGCTCAGGTCGCCCATCTGCGTCTCGAGCTGCACGAAGCGCCGGTCCTGCATCTCCGCCATCTTCTTGATCGCAGACGTAGTTGATTGTAGAAACTCTTTCGAAGCCTGTTTGACGTTCGATTGCACAATCGTGTCAAAATCTCCTCGAAGACTGTTCAAAATTGTGTCGAGCTCCGACCGTGTTACGACCAGATCGGCTGCATCTTCAATTTCTTCTGCTTCATCGTTGCCCCTTCCACGCTTCGACAGTACCTGACGTCCAGCCATCTGATCGAAGAAGGGTTATATCCACCGACAAAGCAAGAGAGATGTGAAATCTGATGATGGTAAGAGTAAGTTCTGGGAAATGGGATTGTAGGGTATGGGATTGTAGGGTATGAGGAAGTTGAGAAAGGTTGTGCCTAGAAACAACCCAGCCCTTGGCGAAACTGTCGCCACTTTCGAAGGCTGCTGTTGGGTCCAGCGGAGTGGGGCGCCGCGGGGATCTGAGGTAGACCTCGCCGTCCCTGGGGGGCTGCGATCTGCGACAGTGCCGCCACGTTCGAAAGCTGCTGGTGGGTCCAGCGGACTGAAGCACTGCGGGGATGTGAGGTAGACCTCGCCATCCCTGGGGGGCTGCGATCTGCGAAACTGTCGCCACTATCGAGGGCTGCTGGTGGGTCCTGCGGAGTGGGGCACCACAGGGGGTGTGAGGTAGACCTCGCCGTCCCTGGTGGGCTGCGATCTGCGACACTGTCGCCACTATCGAGGGCTGCTGGTGGGTCCAACGGAGTGAGGCACAGCGAGGATCAGGGGTAGACCTCGCCGTCCCTGGGGGGCTGCGATCTGCGAAACTGTCGCCACTTTCGAGGGCTGCAGGGGAGTCCAGAGGAGTGAGGCACCGCGGGGATCTGAGGCAGACCTCGCCGTCCCTGGGGGCTGCGATCTGCGACACTGTCGCCACTTTCGAGGGCTGCTGGTGGGTCCTGCGGACTGAGGCACCGCGGGGATGTGAGGTAGACCTCGCAGTCCCTGGTGGGCTGCAATCTGCGACACTGTCGCCACTATCGAGGGCTGCTGGGGGGTCCAGAGGAGTGAGGCACCGCGGGGATCTGAGGCAGACCTCGCCGTCCCTGGGGGGGCCTGCAATCTGCGACACTGTCGCCACTTTCGAGGGCTGCTGGTGGGTCCTGCGGACTGAGGCACCGCGGGGACCTGAGCGAGACCTCGCCGTCCCTGGGGCCTGCGATCTGCGACACTGTCGCCACTTTCGAGGGCTGCTGGTGGGTCCAGCGGACTGAGGCACCGCGGGGACCTGAGGTAGACCTCGCCGTCCCTGGGGGGGCTTCGTTAGTAACCACTACGACGCCCTTATATCTTGGTCGGGGGCTTGCGAGCCTGTCGATTGCTGCTCGCAACATCACAGGCGTCCATGTTACGTCGTCGCCCCCGTTGTAGCAATCCTGATGTACTTATGCCCCGCATTGCGCAAGGGTTCGTAACGTCGCCAGGGTACGCGTTATCTGTGCATTGATTTGTGTATCCCAGGGCCCCTTCAATGTATCGCCCCTCTCTTCTGGCTCCAGTCCCAGGTGCGCTACGCACGTTCCTAGACATTGGGCCTCTCCTCTCCGTGGCGTGGCTGGCCGTACCAAGGTCCAGCCACTACGTGGAGTCCTCTGGGTTGGCCGACGAAACGCAGGGGTTTCGCACGGCGTTGGCACGAGCAGCCCCATCCTTGCTTCCTCGTGGAAGGAAGGATCGCGTAGCTATTTCGATTTAGAAACGCACAGTCATGCTCAGGCCACTGGCGTGCAGATGCTCTCATCCTAAGCTTAGGCATGGTCAGACGCATGCTAATCTAATCATTCGTGCTTCTGAGACTCATTTCACACTCCAGCTCACTCACAATCAGATTCGCGCCCAGTCTGTTACTCAAGCCCGTTGATTTTCGACAACTCATGCGCCTAGACACCAACGGCGGAATGGTCCATGCGAATAGATGCACGTATGGGGAGCTCCACGCAGTGAGTGATGATTCTCGATAACGCCTGTGACGCCCCCCTCCTGGCCCTGGTCACGTGACGATTCGCACTGGCGCCGTGTGAAAATCAGCCATTCCCGAGCCTTCCCAGACGGCGCGGGCGCGCATCGTGACGTGACCGCCCACCCCCGCTCCCCCCCTTTCCCCCAGTCATGCCCGTTATCGCGGGGGGGTGCGGGGAAGTCTGGGGAGGTGAAGCGGGGAGAGGACGGGGATCTCCAGGATTTCCGGAATCACACAATGATGAACGGGCTGGGGAGCTCAGGCTTTGGGGAACAACTCCCTCGAGACTCGGTCGGTATGATGGTGGGATGGAGGCTGCCGGGGAGGTGAGATGGGGAGAGGAGGCAGGGAGGTCTGGGGAGGCGAGGCGGGGAGAGGACACGGCGGGACAGAGGCTGCCGAAAGAGGCCGCCGCCGCGGCGAGCGCGCCGGGCGACACGCCGTGGCCGCTGGGCCCCCCGCGCACGCCGTAGCCGGTCTCCACCTGGGCGTCTGGGCTCCTGCGGGCACGAGGGCCAGGCAGGAGGTCCAAGCCGTGCCGATAAACCCGAAGTCAGCCACGTGGCCAAGCATGCAAGGAAGAAGCGACAAACGGCACAAACATTACCTTTCGACGGTCCGCGCGTACCGTCGTCAGTGTATGCTCATGCCGTCTGTTCGTCTTCGGGGCATGACTGTTTGCTGCCAGCGATGGAACCAAGCAACAACTTAGCGCAATCGATGTGGTGCAGCGCAGTGCACTCGACAGCGAGGCAAAGAGACACAAGGCAGCGCAAAGCTCTGCAAGACACAGCCCGTGGCTAACACAAACCAGCGACACCCATGGCACGACCAATGGCTGCAATCCATGCTGCAACCCATGCTGCAACCCGTGGGTGCAACCTATGACTGCAATCCTTGGCGCAACTCATGGCCACGAAGCACCTGCGACGCCACCACGTATCCAGTTCCTCAATAATCACAAGAGCAGACCTGCGTGCAGGAGGGGAGGAAGAAAGCAAGGAAAATGAAAAGGCATCTGGAAAGGGGAGGAGAATGAGTCTGAAAGAGGGATCGGAATATTTCAGACCGACATGGCGTCTGGAAGCAGAAGCAAGAGGACGAACGCTCATATGTTCCACTCTCCTCTCATCCCTTTCTCTCCCCTCCCTGCTCCTTCTCCTCCATCCTCCTACTGCTCCTGCCTTCTCCTCCTTATTCTCATCCGTCCTACTCCCCCCCTTTCGTGTTGCTCATCCCTCCTTCTCCACAATCGTCTCCACACTCCTTGGCTGCTCCCTACTCCATCACCTTCCTCGCCTCTCCTCCTCCTCCTCCTCCTCCTCCTCTCCCTCCTCCTCCTCTCCCTCCTCCTCTCCCTCCTCTCCCTCCTCGCCTCATCCGAACTTCCTCCTCCTCTCCCTCCTCCTGTATCCGGTTCTTCCCTCCTATTCCTCCTGCTCCCCACTCCCGCGGAGGAGCAGCAACACAAGCAAAACAAATGCACCAGAAACATGATATACCAGAGAACAGCCCCAATCAGTGGATGGTTTGAAAACTTGGGCAGGTACCATGCCTGGCCGCATGTTCGCCGTAGGGCCCGAAGAGACACTATGGATATCAAAACCTCGGGAACCCGAAATCCACCGAAGTCGGCGCGGAACCAACAACCAGAAACCTGGGAACCCGGAGCCGAGAACCTGGGAACCCAGCCGACTAACAAAATCGGCGGGAAACTTTCGCCAAATCTCTCAATATCCACTAGGACCCCTTCAGTGCAAACGCTGATTGGGGAACAATCAATGGATTCAGCTATATGTTCACAAATTCTCCACGCACTCTCGCCGCTGCATGTTCCTTGACGCTCTACTCTATAACCGACTCTCTACTCTCTCTGTTCTCTCCCTACTGCCTACACACATTCTCTCGCTCTCTGTCCCCCTCTTCCTTTCTGCACCTCTCGAATGTTGCTTGTTTTGTTATCTCTCTATTGATTTTTCTCCGTATTTCTCTCTGTCGATACACATGAAAATCCGCCGGCTGCATTGTGGGGCCATCAGGCTGCCTGGCGAAGGCTTTGCTGAAACCTGCTCCAGTTCCAGTTTCAAGTCTCCAGTGTTATAGCTATTGTGTGCGTTGCCTACTGTATGTTGTTTTTATCCGCGCTAGGGGGGTGGACCGGACGAGAATATGTCACCGTTCCCGAACCGCGTGCTCCAGATTTTTGGACGGTCCTGGGAAACATACAAGCACATGATGACACTTCAGCCGCCGAGGCAGTACCCCCTCGCAAGTAAATCACGCCACGCTCGCGTTCCCGAGGCCAGAGAATCCCTCATACACTATACGCACGCGATTCGCGCTGGCGAGGCCGAGCTCCTAGTTACGCTAGATTCGCGCCCCCAGGGCCCGAATCCTTTGCAAGTTGTGCCAAGTTCGCGCCCCCGGAGCGCCAGTCAAAAACAAGTTACGCATTACGCCATAGTCGCGCCCCCGAGGCCACGATCCCTTCTCAAGGACGTCGCGATTACCAGCCGTCCTTTCAGGAGGTTCAGATATTGCTGCAAGTCGGCGCCCAAACATGCCAATATAGTTCAGGAATGTTCCACTCTGACAGAATGGGAGATGGCGGCAGCGGGCGAAACCCTCACGGATGCACACGGGAACTTAGTGCACCTCTCTCTCTCTCTCTCTCTATCTCTCGTTCAGTTATATATGTATGTATGTACATATGTATATATTTGTTTATATATATATATACGGATTCACCAGTATCCTTCTACCCCTCGCTTATGGCTGTACCCCTCAATGTTTTTTTTTTTTTTTTTTTTTTTTGTTGTTCCCCCTTCGTTTTTATATCTCGCTCTATATCGTTATCTTTCTTTCTGCCCCTATCTCTCTTCTATCACGTTCACTTTTTCTACCCTTCCAACTTGCCGATCATTATATGCCATACTTTCTACCGCTCTAGACTCGACCCTCCAATTATGCCTCTAGTTTCTCTCCTTCTCTCTCTCTCTCTTTCCCATATTTCGTACATCGCTTCCCTGGTTATACATCCGTGCGCGTATGGAAATCATGTATATCATGTAAACCATGTGCTCGTATCGGTTTGGTATATCTATATGTATTGTGTTCATCTCACTTTCTTTCTTTCTCTCTCTCTCTCTTTTCTCTTCTTCTCTCTCTCTCTCTCTTTTTCTCTGTTTCTGATGTGTTTGTATATGTATGTGTATAGTTATATAAAGATATGTACGTGCATCTTCCTCAGTACCCGCAGCCAGCCTTTCTCAATCGTCTGTCCCTGTCTTCGTCGTCCTTCCATCATCAATTGCTCTTGTCTCCCCCTGCTCGTCTTCACTTCGTCGTCTCCCTTCTCTTATCAGGTCTATTGAACGCTACGGGCGAAAAGGGGAAGAACGCGACCGCATGCAACGAGAACGCCGATGAATGACACGGCGCGCTGGTGCCATACATGCTTCGCAACCATCCCGGTCGCAGCGGTGGCGGCCAAGCCGTGCACATCATAGCAAGGTCGCATGCTCTTCCAATTTTCTCTGGCAGCTACGGGCGAAGAAAGGGGACACGTCGCCACTGGGCTACACAAAAGAGCAGGGGCGGCAAAAACAACTTGTATCCAACAGGTTCCGCAATCATCGCGACCTGGTTACATAAAAAACGATGACATCTGGCAATTCCCGCAATCGTCGCGACCAAGACGCATGTGACACACAAGCGCGTCCTGCGTGTCCCCGCTTCCGGGGGGGGGCGCTGCCGCAGGCCATGTAGCGCGGGAGGATGAGGAACTGGTTCTTAGACGAGCAGGAACTGTCATTTCTCAGATTTCGTAGCCGTCGCACCCCGGAAAAATAGGTTACCAAAAGCGACCTGCAAAGGCATCGTGGCCCCACCGTTGCGCTTTGCGCCCCCTTTGCTGCCCGTCTTGGTCTCTGCCTTGCGTGGTCCCCGGGCGGCCGAACTCCTCGCTGAAAAGGGTCCAAGGCAACTCTTGCCGGAAGACTCCTTGCTGCGGCCGTCCTTGCCAACCTGGATCCCGAGTGCAGAATCAATCCGATATAATGGGCGCTGCGAGCCATTGCAGACGAATCCTCAATCCATGAATCCTTACCGGTGGGATACTCACGTAGCCCCCCTCAAGCCTAAACGTTTAATGTTGGGGAATCTGCGATAAGGAATCTTGCAATGATGCGTTATCACTTGGGACACTATTGCTAGGAGCGTCTGGGGTCGCAATCCACGGGGGGTGCCACAGTTTCGACCGTGTCGTGGGGGGGGGGGGGGGGGGAACCGCAGCAACGAACGCAACGACGGCGCCCTCCCCCCCCTCTGAAACGCTGACGAGCCAACGGGGGACGACGGCAATGGACCTCATCGGTGACATCGTCACGCCGCTTCGTTACTCAGCTTCGCACCGCTGGGGGAAAAAAGGGGGGGGAGCCTGGGCCGCGCGCTCGTCCTGGCGCGGCGACAGCTTCGGTTACCGCCGCATGGCCGCGTCGCTGCTTTCCGTTTCGACCGCTTCCCAAACGGCCCAATCTTCCTGGGGCGGCGCGGTCAGAAACTGCAGTGCCTGGCAAGTGATCCTTCAGAAGAAATTTCCAGAACATGCCGCTCCAGGAGGGATTCATGCGATATGTATATATATATATATATATATATATATATATATATATATAGAGAGAGAGAGAGAGAGAGAGAGAGAGAGAGAGAGAAGAAAGAGAGAGAGAGAGATACAAACAAAAAAAAAAAGAGAGACAGAGAGAGAGGGAGAGAAAGAGGATAATGATTTACATATTGCGTTTTCGCTTTCTGTATCTATTTCGCTCTTTCTCTCTGCGAGAACCACATAAAAAACAACTCATCAGCAGGGGGATATGTGGAAGCGGACGCACAGAGAAAAATACAACAGGGAGAACACGAGAGAGAGAGAGAGAACGCTCAATTCGACCCCCCCTGCATCTGGAGGGCTTATACATGTATATACACATATACATAGAGAGAGAGAGAGAGAGAGAGAGAGAGAGAGAGAGAAAAAAAATCAAAGAGAAAGGGAGAGAGAAAGAGAGAGAGAGAGAAAGAGAAAAATCAAGAGAGAGAAAGAGAGAGAGAGAGAGAGAAAGAGAGAGACAAAACACATATAACAACAAACGGAAAGAGAGAGAGAGAGAGGAGAGAGAGAGAGAGAGAAAAGAACGACAGCGAGAAACATAAAGACATATAAAGACAGAAAGAAAGACATAAAGAGAGAGAGGTTCATACTGTCAGATAAGAATCCAAGTTTGGATGTGTGGGATTGGGGGGGGGGAACAATACGTATCATCATTGCGGAACAATAAAGCCGAACATTTAAACCCACCTTCACAATTCTCTTCTTGAGATAATGAACCGGGCATCTGTATTCCGACATGAAAAAATGGTGGGGAACCCAGGAATTGGGGGACAACAGATGCTTAGTATCATTCCGGAATTACGAAAAGCGGGTTGGTTATTCCTGAGACATTGTGAATCCCAGCCAACATTCCCAGACAATTTGAAATCCAGGTTAATATCTTTTCGGGGTCGATATCCCCAGGACATGATAAACCATGGTTTATCTATGTTCCAGGGGGAACATGAGAAACCCCAGTCAATATTCCCAGGACATTTACACCCAAACTCATAATGTTCCAGGGGCGACATTCTAAACCCTGGTCAATACCCCCAAAACATTCTAAACCCCGGTTGCGATTTTTTTGGGGTCCATCCTGCAACTCTGCTCCGCACCCTCTGACATGTACTCTCTATTCTCTTCCATCTCATTATGACCAGACGCGCAAATACCACATCGGGCGGGGCGAGGGCGAATGTAAATATGTTCCAGAACATACCAAAACGCGTTCGTAACGTTCTGGGGCGCCATGGAAAAAATCAGCGTGGCACCCGATACAGTTTCCAAAATTGCAGGACTTCATGATTCTGGATCTACGATCGTCTCAATGTATCATTGTGTTGGTTTCGTCTCTCTCTCTCTCTCTCTTTCTCTCTTTGTACAACGCATGCACACAAATATCAACCTTTCTCTCGGTCTATCCCTTTTCTCCTCTTTGGCCACCCGAACGATTCTACATTCGGTCATACACACGTACGCTGTTAACTCTGCTCGGCTCCGTCCTCGACATGTACTTTCTATTAGTCACAGTCGATTTTCTCATTCTGACAATGAACGCACAACCCAAACAACCAAACAATCGGGAAACCGGGACACCCGGGAGCGGGAAGCCGGGCAACCAAGAACCTGGGCACCCACCGACGTCGGCCTGGAACCGTGAACACGGAACCTCGGGGCCTGACAGCCAACTGAAATCGGTTCAGAAACCAGACGAAGAGGAGGAGGAGAAGGAGGAGGTGGAGGAGAGGAGAGAATGAGGCCTGCAACGTTTTCTGAATCTCAACATATATGCTAGGGGCCCTTCAGCGCAAACGCTGGCGAGGGAACGTGGCCAGGCTGGAAGGCTCTGTGCCAGAATCGCGGGACCGGGCGCATAATTACCTTGGCCGCCCACAGCAGCTGCCATCGCGCAGATGGCATCATGTGCAATCGCGAACTCGGGTGCAGTTGAACATTGGGAGGAATGAAAAGAGGGAGTTCGGGTTTAAGCAGGGGGTTGTGATGGGAGGGAAACGTCGAGTAGAAAAGCAGAGGGGAGGATATGGGCAGGGGTTTTCAATGAACGTCGCAGGGTTGTGGAGGAGAGGATGGCGATGAGGGCGACGGGGTAAGAACGGAGGGACTTCAAGGATCGCCATCACGTGGTGGTGCAACAGATGTCCCCCCTGAGCTCGATGAGCTACGAGGGACAGGAGGCCCAGTCGTGGAGCCAGCGGGGAAGCTTGTGGAACACGAGAGAACGCGATACCGCCAAGCGCGCCCCTCCACCACTGAGATGCTCACTCCTTCCTGGCCAGACCGCCAAAACACGGGTCAGGCAGCGCGGGCCTCGGCGCGCCGCGCGCGCAAAACGCACCTGGGCGCGCCGCGCGTGCTGACAATTTCCGAGGCTTCGGGCACGCTGCCCTCAGATAGCGACGCGCCCCCTCGGCGCGCCGCCCCGACAGGGCCACCCGGAGGGCGCCGCTCCCTCGTGCGACCACACACACCCACGCACGCCAGGGCGGGGGACCCTGGCCGTGGGAGGGACGGGTGTGCTAGGGAGCCCACAAAGGACGTACGCGCCCAGCTATGTACATGAACACGGCCCTTCGATCCGCGAGACGGGCCGCGATATACGCTCATTTGCGCAATGCGTACTCTCGAAACCAGCGTGGATTCATGTACGTGTACGTCCTTCTGTCGCTCCTGATGTGCGGGTGTGGATCCACCATGAGCCCCCCGCCCGCAGGGGACCCCCCACCCGCCCAGGCGCACGTGGTGTACGTGCCAAACCACCACAAAAGGGGTGGGAAACCTACCGCAAAGGGGGCGCGTCTCAAAGACTGCGCTGGCATTTCACAACGAACCGGGGAGGCGCCATGAAGCCTCAGGAAGCCTCAGGAGGCCCCGAAAAGTTGCAGGAAACTCCAGCGAACCCCAGGAAACCCAAGGAGGCTCCAGGAGGGCCCAGGAAACCCCAGGAGGTTCCAGGAGGCTCCAGGAAACCCTAGGAGGTGTCAGGGAACCCCGGGGAATCCTAGGACTCCCCAGGATGACCTGGGAGACCCCAGGGGACCCTGGGCGCTCGACGGATTCGCGAGCGAAAAATGCGCGCCGCGCCGAAGCGGGAGTGACATTCCGCCCTGTCGCGCGCGATGTGCACCGCGCCCCATTCCTGCCACGCATTTCGCAAAGCCGACGACAGGAAAGTCTTCGTTGAGAAGAAGCATGTCGACGGTGTATTGGTTTTTGAAATGTAGGATGGCCCCTCCCGCTTGGGGTAGCCCCAGACGTCCGCGCGCAATGCGCGCCGCGTCCCATTCCTGCCACGCATTTCGCATCGTCGACGACAAGACAGGCCATGTTGAGAGGAACAACGGAGACTTTGTTTTGATTTTGTACAGTCAGGATGAGACCCCCCGGATGGGGTTGCTATGCTATCGGCCAGACAGAGGGGCGAGTAAGAACCTATTCGAAGAAGAAGCAAGGATAAGAGGAGGAGGAGGAGGAGGAGGAGGAGGAGGAGGAGGAGGAGGAGGAGGAGGAGGAGATGGAGGAGGAGTTGCCTCGGAGTTGCCTGCCATCCACATGAGGTGGGGGATGGAGGAGGAGGAGGAGGAGGATGGCGATGAGGAGGAGGAGAAAGGAAGAACAGGAGACACAAACAGGATTACGTGAGCTCGCGCCTGGGCCAGCCTGGGGGGCCTCTTCTTCCCTGATGCTGCTCCTCCTCCTCCTCCTCCTCCTCCTCCTCCTCCTTCCTCATCATCATCACTATCACCCTCCTCATCCTCTCCTCCTCCTATTCCTCCTCCTCCTCCTGTTCCTCCTCCTCCTTCTCCCCCTCTACCCCTCCTCCTCCTCCTAATCCGTCCTTCTCTTCCTCTTCCCTCCTCCTCCTCCCCCTCCTCTTACTCTTCCTTCATCCCCTTCCTCCTCCTCCTCCCCCTCCTCCCCCTCCTCCTTCTCCTCCTCCTCCTCCTCCTCCTCCTAATCCGTCCTGTTCTTCCGTCCTTCTCTGCCCATTCCACCTGTTCCCACTCCTCCCGCCGGCTCCCTCCACTACTCCTCTGAACAGGCCTGATGCTGCCCCCTCGGAGGCAGGAGTCTCCTCAGCGGCAAGCACACGTGCAGCGCCGTGCAGCGCTGGGTGTCCTGCACATTGGGGTTCGCGCGCGCCTGCGGGGGAGCCGGCGAGAATTTGAAAAAGCAGCAAGAAGTCTCGTGTCGGCGGCAAGCGAGAGAGGGAAAGGAGAAGGAGAAGGCCTTCTCAGAAGGCGGCGGGACTTCTCGGATGCCCTCGAGCCTTCTGAGAAGTTTCCTGTGCCGGGAATGGCTCAGACAACTCCTCAGAAGGCCGGGGGCTTCCGAGCCTGCTGAGAGGGCCCGCCCCCTCCCACTCACCCCCCCGAGCTTGCCGCCGAATCTAAACGGGAGACCCGCCGGCCGGCCGATGTTCTGTTCAGAAGCGCAGCGCCGCACCCTCCTCCTCCTCCTCCTCCTCCTCCTCCTCCCTCCTCCTCCTCCTCCTCCTCCTCCCCCTCCTCCCTTTTCCTCCCCCTCCTCCTCCTCCTCCTCCTCCTCCTCCTCCTCCTCCTCCTCCTCCTCCTCCTCCTCCTCCTCCTCCTCCCTCCTCTCTCCCTCCTCCTCCTCCTCCTCCTCCTCCTCTCCTCCTCCTCCTCCTCCTCCTCTCCTCCTCCTCCTCTCTCCTCCTCCTCCTCCTCCTCCTCCTTCCTCCTCCTCCTCCTCCCTCCTCCTCCTCCTCCTCCTCCTCCTCCTCCTCCTCCTCCTCCTCCTCTCCTCTCTCCTCCTCCTCCGGCGACCGCAGGCACACCGGGCAGACGGCAGCGACCACCCTGCGGGGGGGGGGAGGCCCCCGCGCAGCCGCTCGCGCGCGAGGCAGGAGCAGCACGACGAGCGAAGCGCGAGGCGAAGAGGCACCGGTCCGCCGCTTTCCAGCATCGGCCGACCAGATGTGTCGTTCGGGCGCGAAGTAATGAGGAGGAGGAGAAGCGAGGAGGAGGAGCGAGGAGGAGGAGAAGCGAGGAGGAGGAGAAGCGAGGAGGAGGAGGAGGAGGAGAAGCGAGGAGAAGCGAGGAGGAGGAGGAGCGAGGAGGAGGAGGAGGAGCAGAAAGGCAGCGTCCTTCTCGGGCCCTAGGGGCCTCTTGAGGGGCCCTAGGGGGCCCCTTTTCTGCAGCTCTCGCTGGCCCCCCAGTTCCCGCCTCCCGATTTGTTCGCGCCGAAGTCGTAGGGGGAGATTTGTTGTCCGTCGGCGACATGGTCGATCGGTGATACGGTGCATTGGTTATTGATCTTCTGATCGGTCCATGGATTGTGGGTTGGTTCTTTTGACACCGCGCAGCGAAGCCCAAGGTGCCCTGACCAAAAACATCTGTATATTTTCCTCGTCCGAGATCAACACTCCCTCACTTCGGGGCCCCAAACCGTGCGGTGATGGACCGCGCGGTGACCTCGGAATCCCCGACGACCTCACCCTGCGGTCTGTCACCGCATGGTTTTGGGACCTCGGAGGCCCCAACTGTCCAAGACGTCCTGGGAGAACGACCCGAGTCCCAAGACCGTGCGGTGACCCCGAATCCCCACTGACTCACAACGCTGATAACCACACCGTTTGGGGGCCTCCGATCTGAGGGATGCACCGCACCCTTCGGGGATCTTCTGACCCGGGTCAATCCAGACCCGGGTCAGCAGGAAACCAAAAACTGCAACGCAGGACAACAAAAACTGCAGCGCAGGTCCTCGCAAACCCGGGTCAGCCCATAGGCGCGGCCGCCTCGCGGCCACGAGCGGCTCGCTAACCTGGGTCAGCCAGAGGGGGTCTTCGCAGGATCCTGCAGGATCTGGTGCCGTGGCTGACCCCCGTTTGCATTGACCCCCGCCTCCAGGCTCTCGGGAGCGGCCAAGAGGGGGGTGTCCAAGAGGGGGGGGTGCAAATCATGACCGGCGGCATGTGCGCGGCCCAGCGAGGGGGCCAGGGACGTCATGAAATGAGAAGAGGCGCCATGAAATCTGAGGAAAAATCATGGCCCACGCCATGATATCCACCCCCCCCTAGTCAGCACCCCCCTCTTTTCCGCCCCCGACGATCTGAGGGATGCACCGCACCCTGGGTGGGCCGGGAGCGCCGGGCAACGGCTTCCTCGGAGTGGGCCAGGGGCCAGGCGGGCGAGCTGTCGCGAGCGCGCAGAGGCCCATCGCCACGCTTCGGGAGCCCAGGTGCCATTGCTTTAAAGCTCTGGGAGGCCACATTAGGCCTGCGAGCATGCTCCTACATACTCTTACTCTCTTCTCTGTCGCTGATTGATGATTGAAGAGGAGACAACGGCATAAACAGAAACCTTTTGGCGCTCCGAGCGGATTTCTTGGACTTCTTGCCCCACCCCCCTGGCGCACGCAGCGCGCCAGGGGCGGCGCCGGAAGCGCCGCCACGGGGGCCACAGCGCGGATCCAAGAAATCCGAGCGGAGCGCCAAAAGTCAATGTTCATGCTGTTTTTTCTTCTTCGAGCTTAGGTCTGTTCCGTGGATCACGGTGCAGTCACCGTCACTATCTGGGGGCCCCAGACCCCTCCTCCCCCTCGGCGCGTTTGGCGCTCCAGCTGCCGGCGCGTTTGTTTGGCGTTCCGTGTGCAAACCTGTCCGGCGCGTTTGGCGCTCCAGCTGCCGCTGTCGACGCGCATCATATTTCTTTCCACTCGGTTGCCAACGACGCCACCTTGAGTCTGCCGACGCGTCCCTCCGGATGCATGGCTGAGCGAGCGAGCGAGCGGGCGACCCCTCCCCCCTCGGGGCAACCGCCTGCAGCAGCGAGCGAGCGATCAGGACGTTGCCCCGCTCGGCGGCGTAGTGCAGCGGCGCGCGGTGGTCCAGCGAGTCCTGCGCGGGGGCCAGGCTTCCCTCCCAGCCTCTGCGCCTTCCCCCGCCTCCTCCACCTTCTTGTGCCTCCTCCATCCTCCTCCTCCTCCTCCTCCTCCGTCTCCTCCTCCTCCTCCTCCTCCTCCTCCTCCTCCTCCTCCTCCTCCTCCTCCTCCTCCATCCTCCATCCTCCCTTCTTCCTCCCTCCTCCTCCTCCTCCTCCTCCTCCTCCTCCTCCTCCTCCTCCTCCTCCTCCTCCTCCTCCTCCTCCTCCTCCTCCTCCTCCTCCCCTCCTCCTCCTCCTCTCTCGCCTCCTCCTCCTCCTCCTCCTCCTCCTCCTCCTCCTCCTCCTCCTCCTCCTCCTCCTCTCTCGCCTCCTACTCCTCCTCCTCCTCCTCCTCCTCCTCCTCCTTTCTCCTCCTCCTCCTCTTCCTTCCTCCGCCTCCGCCTCCGCCTCCTCCTCCTCCTCCTCCTCCTCCTCCTCCTCCTCCTCCTGTCGAGACAAATGGCCGCGTCGTGTCGACTTCGGCGTCGGCTCCTGACACCGCGGGGATCGTTCAGCCTTGTACGATCGGCCGTTTCAGAAACGACGGATCGCTCAACGATGTGTCGATTCTGGGTCGTCGGCGGCGTTTAACGTTGAAAGCCGGCGGCGGGGTCGCCGCCGGTCGACACGTCTCGACCCTGCAGTGAACATGGAATTCTGCGCTGACCTCCGAACAATTTGATCTGACATTTTTGTTCCTCGATCCCCCTCGCATTCTTCACCCTCCTCCGCGATTGCTCCACATATCGTCCTTGCGCAATGGCGCCGCATCGTGTCTTCAATCTATCCCTCCGCCCGTCCACTTCGCCAGCTCCCGAAGTCCTCCTTGAAGTCCTTCGAGCTGAACCGCGGGTCCCTCTCTGCGTCCATGTCCTGGGTGTTGGGATCGGCCCGCGCGTCTAACAGGACTTTGACAAGCTGACAGCCGCTTCATTTTTCTATGGGGCGTCCTCGTCGTCGTCCTCCCCCTGATCCATCGCCCTCCTCATTCCTCCTCCTATTTCACTTCCACACCCCCTCCTTCTCCTCCTCCTCCTCCTCCTCCTCCTGCTCCTCCTCCTTCCTCCTCCTCCATTATCCTCCTCCTCCTTCTCCTCCTCCTCCTCCTCCTCCTCCTCCTCCTCATCGCCGTCGTCGTCCGCCTCGTCGTCCTCCTCCTCCTTCATTATCCTCCTCCTCCTCCTCCTCGTGCCCCTCCTCCTCCTACGCCTCCTAGTGTTTCCTCCTCCTGGCCCTCCTCGTCGTCCTCCTTCTCATCATCGCTGCTTCTCTGGAAGTGTCCGATGACTGCGCCCCTGCGGGACGTGGACCCGCACGCCAACCCAGCAGTGCCACCTCCCCTCGAAGGACCTGCGCGGCGCTCGGGCGAGAACGACAGGAACAACCTACGCCCGAAAACCCGCGCGCCCCCGCTGCCTAAAACAGGGCTAGGATCGGGATTAAATCGCTCCAGAGCGTTCCGGAGCGCTCTCAGAGCGCTCCGGAACGCTCTGGAGCGGCCGCGGCGCCCAATACATCCTCCAAACCCGCCGATTCTCAGAGATGTCGAGTTGTCCCGATCCGATTCTGTCCCGATCTTCGCGTCGTTTCTCTGCCGCTCCCCCGCGGCTCGGCCAGCGAAGGACTGCACCGCGCCCGTGCGGGCACTCCGCTTGCCCGCACCGCTCGGCACGGAGCTCGGGCGAAGGAGCGGCTCTCCGCTCGCGCGCGCGCCGCTCCGGTCCCCACGGCTGGGCGAGCTGGGCGCCGCTCCCAGGCTCACAGGGGATGTGTCGACCCCTATCCCAGGCTTCGTGGGTTTTCGAATGGACCAAACAAATTGGGGTCCAACCCTGGGATATACGAGGGGGGGCGTCCATCCTCGACAGGGGTGCGTCCGAATAGCCCCCCGGGGGTGTATCCCAGGGTTCCCCTCCTTTCTGAGCCGCTCCCATTCTTCGTCGAGAAGTCGGGGGCTGGGATAGAAACACTGCCTGCGACAGGCGGGAGCGCCACCTCTTCGAGCGAAGTCTGCGCGCCGCCTGGGCAAGAGCGGCATTTCGCCCTTGCGGCGAATCCCGCCGCGCACGAGCTGGCGAGCCGAAAATGTGCGCCGTGCCAGAGCGGGAGCTCTACTCTCAGGGACAACGAAACGCGGCGCCGCAGAACGGCGACAACGACAGCTCGCACCCTCGTGCGCAGTGTGCGCCGCGCCCCACTCTGGCCAGTTGTTTTGCAACGTCGACGGCCGAACGTCCATGTTGAAAAGGAAAACAAGCTCGGCTTTGTATTACTTTCTGGTGGGAAGATGTGGCGGGAATCGGCCAGCCAATTGGAAGAATGGGAGTATGTAGTGACCTTGTGAGCGTGCGTCTGAGCATCAGTGGAGAGGGTCGGAGAATTGCGAGTCTGGGTGGTAGGAGTGAACCTGACTGTGAAGACGTATGGAGTGTGGACTAATACAGAAGGACCCCACTACAACAAGAAGCTCCGCGCTAAGGACCTTCGAGGGTGGCACCATCATCATCATCATCATCATCATCATCATCATCATCATCATCACCACCATCATCAATATCAAAAGTATTACCATCACCGCTTATCATCATCATCATCGTCGTCGACGTCGTCATCGTCATCGTCACCATCATCACCACAACCAGCATCATCAGCGTCATCATATACCCACCACCACCATCGTGATCGTTATCACCATCATGGTCACAATCAGGGACTCTCTGTTTCTTACTCGTGCCGGTATCAAAAGTCCAAGCATCGTTGTCAGCCACTCGAGCGCAGTCAGGATGAGCGCAGGGCCAGTCATACAATTCACAAGCACGACACTGGCCCGACAGCGAACTCCAGGCTGTATCATGGGGCTCACAACACGGTGGAAATATGAACGGGCGGGCAGGCTTGAGCCAAGACCCGACGCGAGATGTGGCAGTCGATCCTATCATCAGGGACTCACTGTGTCTTACTCCCGCCAAACTCAGACATTCAAGCATCGTTCTCAGCCACTCTAGCGCAGGTCAGGATGAGCGAAGGGCCAGTCATACTATTCACCAGCACGACACTGGCCCGACAGCAAACTCCAGGCTGTACCCAAATTCCCACACTCCTAACTCGAGAGCCTAGGAGGAAATATAACAAGACTATCTAATTAACGATGCCACCGCACGAAGGTGCACAGTCAGCCAACATTGCCAGGTACTAACAGCGAAGGCTGACGAAAGCCAGCCTGGAAGAGACCAGGCCAGAGACCAGGGGGAATGTCCTGGGCCGTCCGGGCAGCGGCCAGCTCAAGCATTCTCGAGCCTATGGGAGATGCACTATCGAGGTCCGCGCGGACCCTGGGCTCCAGGCGCGAAACGGAACTGGCGGCTGTGACTTCTTGTATGTAGAGCAACATCACGCGGGTCAGGAGCCAACTCTCGCGAGACCGAAGAAGGAAACTCCCCGCCTCCCGTCGCTGCAAAAAACAAATGTGCCGCGGCGCCGGCGTTCCAACGGCCCCCAGTACGAGGCCTCCTTTTTTCCTTGTGGGCAGGCCGAACGCACGTCCGCGGGCGACAATTCTACTCCTGAGTCCCCCCAGTCCGATCGGCCAGAGTCGGGCGGGGGGAGAAAAGGCGAGCGAAAACGGCCGAACAACAAAAAAACGATGGGCAACACGTCGCCGATTCGAGCAGACTAAGCCCTGGCCCCCGCCGGTTCTCGAATGGATAAGGCAAACGGGCGACCGCTTGCAGGCCGTCAGCGGGCAGTCTCCTCTCAGCACTCAGGAACTCCACGGGCCTCAGCATGCCGTGCCAGTCCGCGGCCAGCAGGGCCAGGCACGATGCCAACCCCAGAGGAGCGCGAGCGTGACTGGGAGCCTCAAGGCGGTCAGGGGTCTGGCGCCAGGATGGCTTCCAGGCTCCTGTTCCAGGCAGCCGTAGGCCGCGTCCCCCGCTCTCGCGGGGAAACGTCGAAGCCCTCCGCGGACTCCCCAGACTGCATTGATCGTCTCGGACAGCCTGTAGTGGGCGGCCCCCGAGCGCCCCGGGAAGTGGCCGTACTCCTCCAGCAGCGTGTTGATCAGGTCGGCGTCGGGCCCCCCTGCTCCCAGGAGGTCGGCCAGGCGGCCCCCTGCTCCCAGGAGGGGCAAGCTGTCGAGCCGCTGCAGGCAGACGAACCTCCACCTGCGCGTGCGTTCCCCGACGGGGCGCCCTCTCGCCGGCGGAGTGGGGCGGGCGGCCGCGCGGGCGGAGTCGCCGCGGGCGGGCGGAGGCCCACCCGCGGGGGCGGCCCCGGGCCCAGCCCGCAGGTCCGCCAGGGCCCTGCTCCCTGCCGGGGCGGAGGCCAGCACGCCGCCTGGGCCGCCAGCGGGAGAGGCGGCCTCGCCTGTCCGCAACCCTGAGGTGAAGGCCATCGCCGCGCACGCCGCGAGGCCCGCGCGCCAGCCCTCCCCTGGGAAGCCGCCGAGGGCGCTCTGGTCGAAGCAAGTCCCGCGCCCGCGTCGAAGTCGCCTGGCACGCTCCACGGCGGCCGACGCCCGAAGAGGCTCTGGTCGGCGCGCCGTCGCCGCGCCCAGGCGGCGGCGGCGCGGGGGCCCCTGCAGCAGCGCGGGCGCCTTCCCGAAAGTGGGTCGCCACCAGGCCGCCAGCGGGGCGAGCGCCGCGGGCGCCCGCGAGGCCGCGCCCCACGGCCCTTCCAGCCAATTCTTCGCGACGGCGGACTCCAGAAGGTTGATCTGGGCGGGCCGCTCCCAATGCCAGCTGCGGTCTCCCTTCCCGCGGCTGGTGGGGATGATCTCATTCGCCATCAGTTGTTCGGAACCTGGTTTCGAAGTGTGCTGCTCCTCGTCGGCGATCAGGGGCCTGCGGACAGACGCCTCGACGACCGTTGCCGCGGCCGCCGCCGCGCCGCTCGGGAAGTGGGCCGACTCCGCGCCGTTCGCCTCCAGAGTGGGGGGGGGGGTGGACGTGGCCGCCAGAGCCCCGACGGCGCAGCGCGCTCGCGTCGGCCCCCGCCTCCATGGCCGCGAGCTCCTTCGTGCAGGCCGACGCCAGCGCGCGCGAGTCGAGCCAATTCGCCGAGATGCCGGTCCGCGCGAGCAGGCGTCACCAGGCCGCAAGCTGCCGCATCTTGGACCTCCTCGGGAACCCGCCAAGCTTCGCCTCTCCAGCGTGGTCCGCCGCCAGCAGCAGCGGGAGGCAGCGGAAAGCCAGGGTGCTGCCGAGGCGCGCCGCGGGGTCGAAGCGGTCGAAGCCCTCGAACTCCGCCCCGGACCGCTTCCCTGTCCTGCGAGCATCGGGGAAGCTCGACGGCGGGGGCTCGACCATCACGAAAACGACCCACCGTGACCAGGTGAGCCAGAGGACCCACTCCACAGGACGCGCCGAGGTCGTTCCAGACGTTGTAGCTCGAGTTCCGGATGGGCCCGCAGACCAGGTCCAGCTCGAACCCCTCCTGGGTGACTCTGCCCCCCCCGCCCCCGATCTCCAAGAAAACGTCGAACGGGGCGAGAGGCCGCGAATGGCGGTCCAACCGCCCAAGCTCGACGAAGACCCCCTCGAAGCAGTCCGACTCAGCGCTGGCGCCCAGCCGGCCTATCTCCCGCAGGGCCGTTCTTGGCGCCGACTCGAGGCGGGATCGCCCCCCGCGCCGCCCCCCACGTCGCTAGTAGTGGGCGGCCAGGCCGGCAGGAGCGGGGGCGCTCACCACGGCCCCCCATCGACGGAGACGCATCCATGGTGCAGATCCTGTCATCGCGCGGGGCGGCGAGGTCGGCGGCCGCCGTCGGAGCGAGGACGGGCGCCAGCACGAGCTCATACTTCACCGGCTTCGACGGCGGTGTCTCGCACAACGACGGCGTCGGCCGTCTGCGTCTTGACGCCCGCCTCGGCCGCGGCAGATAACTCGAAGATGCTGCCCAACGCCGCCATGAAAGGGCAGCAGTCGGAGGGGATCGCAATCCACGGGGGCGCCATACGGCCAGCAAACGCCTGCTCGCGGACCTCAGGCGAGCCGCCGTGAGGCGCGGCGCCCCTGCCAACCATCCATCTCGGGGCCCGCCAGCGTCGCCGACAGCTCCTGAGCTACCATCCTCGAAGTCGATTCGAAGAGCCCCTCTCGGGCGTTGGCCTGGCGGGCGGCGGCCAGCAGGACCGCGTCCGCCCCGGCCCCTGAGCGCGCGCCCCGCTCGAGCACTCGCCCCGCCACGAAGTGGCCGTCGATGCAGAGCTCATGCCCCGCGGGGCCCTCGAGGACGGGCTCCGTCCCGCGGATCGTCTCCGGGTCGGCGAGGCAGCCGCCTCGGCGGAGGAACTTGCCGTGGGCCGCCTGTGCCAGGCCCGCCGCCGCATGGTCGCTCACGGGGGGATTGGCGAAGCACCCTCGGTCACGCGAGGCTCGGCCGCGCGGGCGGCGCCCCGGCGCGCCGCCAGGTGCGCCTGTCCGCCCCCGCGGACGGCGGCGCCTTCCTGCCCTTTCAGCGCTCTCGCGGGGTCGGCAGGGAAGTCCGCGTGGGCCCGCAAATCGCGGGCAGGGCTGCAGATGTTGGTCGGCGCCCCCGCGTCAGAGAGGGCGAACTGGTGGTGGTAGTCCTTCGGTCGAGCGTCGGCGCCCGCGACGTGCTCGACCCCCTCGTCGCGTGAAGGTCGGCCGAGCATGGGCCCGTAGCGAATCCCCCCGAAGGGCCCTCGGATTGTCGCCCCTCGAACCCATTTGGCCCTCGGCGGTCGAAGATCCGCCCGGCGCAAACCGCGACCTTGAGGGCCACGCCGACTTGGCTCACCGCGTGGGCAGGGGCGTGCGCGCGGGCGAGGCGCAGAAAGCCCGCGGTGATCCACGTGCGCTGCAGCAGCAAGCCCGCGTCCGCCTCCAGCGCATGCGCAGCGGGCCAGGACCACGAGGAAGGCGAAGGTGTCCACGTGCGTGGGCAGCGAGGCTCGGCCAGGGGCAACGCCTGCTCGGGCGGCGCGAAGTCCTGGGCGCCCCGATGAGCGAGGCCTCGCTGAAACCCGAGCGCGGAAGGGCCTAGCGGCCCAACTATCCTGCTCGCAGATCTGATGCGGACGGCAGGTGGCGGCGCTAGACGGTGAGGGTCCAAGTCGTGCAGGGAGTCGCCGCTGGCCCCTGTCAGGTGAGCAATCTTCCCGAATATTCAGAATTTCTGTTGGCCGCGCTGCAGGTCTGGAGAAACCGCAGCGCGGCCCCGCGCGCTGAGAAACAGCTCGATTCGCTCGACGACCAGCCGGGGGAGAGCTGTCTCCCGAGGCCCCGCTTGGAGGGGTAGCGCGGCCTGTTGCTGTGCGCGAAGTTCAGGGACATCGCGATGACGTTGCAATCGCGGGCCCTAGCCTCCTGCCAGCGCGCTCGGCGGCGCCCGAGGCGAGATCTGGGGGCCAGCCGCTGCAGCTCCTGCTTGGTGCGAGGCAATGGCAGCGGGGGGGTGCGATAGCGAGGCTCAGCCCAGTCTCGCGCTCGGCGCTGAGCGCGGCCCTCAGGTGTCGCGAAAAAACCGACGCGGAATACCATTCTGGTGAGCACTCTGCACAAACCGAAAGGAGTCGTCACTCCCCCTTGGCCTTTGGCCGCCTTGGGGGGCGGCGAGGCCGTCCGTCCTCCGCCTCGGCAGCCTGCTCGGCCCCCGACGCCCTCGCCGCCGCGGTCTGGGCGGCGCGCGGCTGCGGCTGGTGGCTCGGCAGCACGTCGAGCTCCTTCAGGTGGGCGAGACCACCGTCGCCCATGGGGGGTCGGCAAGAGCCGAGAAGCCGCGCAGCGGGGCTTGCTCGACCCAGCGACCGAGCATGGCGGGCGGAGGGTCTTCCTGCAAGGTCAGCAGCCAGGCCGTGGTCCACCGCCTGCGGTTGGGGCCGCGATGTCCGTGGCCTGGTCGCACTCTCCGCGCGTCGGGTGGCCCATCGAAGCGGCCGCCAACGCGGCCTGGCACGCCGCGGGCCGCCCTGCGAAGCCGTCGGCGAGGCCTCCGAAGCGCTCCGGTTGCTCTGGTGCATCGGGCACTCCCCCTGGGGCGCGAAGGGGGCCCGAGCATCTCGCCGCGCTGCGGATCGCCGACGGCGAGAGCGCCCCAGGCTGCGCCTCCAGCGAGCCGCGCGCGCCGACGGAGCCTGTCGGGGAAAGCGCCAGGTCGCCAAGCGCGTCGGCACCTGCCCCTCCTCCTGCGGGGCCGGTCACGCCCCCCTCGAGCCAGCGACGTGGGCCCCCGTCGGCCCCGCCAACGAACGCCTGGGCATGGGGCAGAAGCTGCGTCTGGGCGCCCTTTCAGTCCTCGGCGTCGACGACGATCGGCACGGGCAGGGGCGGCGGCGGAGGCGGGGCGGGGGGCCCAAGCCCCCCTCGGCGCCTCGGCGCGGTCGCAAGAAGGCGCCTCGCCGCGGCCCCCGCTGCCGCCTTCGCCTCCGCCTGGGTCGGCGCCAGGGGTGGCGTGCCCCCCGCGGCGCGCGGGGGCGGCGGACCTGCGGGCGCAGAGGTGCCCGTCGGCTGTTCCTCCAACGCGCCGAGCCGCTCCGTGACTGGGGCGAGGGCTGCGGCCACCATCGAAACGATCAGGGCGGCCAACTCCTCGGACGGCACCGCGGGAAGCTCCCTCTCCGAAGCGGCATGGTAGCTGAAGCGGAGCGCAGCCCCGACGTCTGCCGCCACTCCTCGGCTCTCTCCACCATGGCCGCCGCCTCGGGCAAGGCCTCCGACGCCCCGACGCGCAGCGCTTCCAGCTTCTCCCCCAGGAAGATCGAATCGGCCGGGGGCTGCTACTGCTCGCCCTCGGACGGCGGGACCCCGTCTGCGTCGAGCGGTGCCGTCGTGAGCCAGCAGGGCCCCATCGTCGCCCGCGGGCCTACCACCCGAGCTCGGCTCGACTGGGAAGGTGATATCATCGCCTGGGGACCGCCATCGCGAGGCCCTCGGCGCGCGCCATCACGGGAATGGCCTCGCAGAGCATCGAACTGAACGCGATGCGCCATGGATCCACCGCTCCAGAGGTGGCAACGTAGTGGCTGCCATCGCCACCGGTGATCAGCAAGGCAGGCAGGGGAACCAGCTCCTTCAAGGTGGGTGTCGGCTTCCACGAGGCTAGAGAGCCCTCAGCCCACCGCGGCGGGCCAAGCCGCGCCGCCGTTGCCCTCGGCCAAAGAGGGCCCGGAAGTGGGCGCAGGCTTCGCGCGCGCGAACCCCAGCCACCCGATGACGGGCACGTTGGCTTCGACCTCGGTGAAGCGCGACCTGTCGTCGACCTCACGTCGGCCGGCCTAGCGCCCTCGCCAGAAAGCCCGCCGCACCTTGACGCTCGGCGGATCGCGGGGGTGGGGGGCGGACTGTAGGCGGAGGGCCTGCCGCTGGATGCGCTCGGGAATCTCCTCGAAGGAGACGGGCACGCCCGCATGGTCCGACTCGGGCTCTTCGACCAGCTCCCACTCCTGCACCTGCTCTGGGCCCGGCAGGGGCAGCCGTACGAGGACGGGGTGCCCGTGCTCGTCGTTCTCGACTTCAAGTTCAAGTTCCCACGGGACCAGCGCTTCCCAGATGGCCTCGGCCGTGGCGTGGGCATTCGCAGCTCTCTTCGTAGGCGTAGCCCTGGAGGCGGCATGCGCGGTCACGGCCGAAACGAGCGCCAATACGGCGGCTGCGTCTCCCGCGGCGGCCGCCGCCTCGGCGCCGGGGAAGCGGGGCTCGGGGCCCCGCACAAGCGGTCGTGAAGACCGCGGCGAAACCCCAGCAGCCGCAGCAGCCGTCGAGGCGCACCGAGACTAAAAGGTCGAGCAGGACGACGAGGCTGCCGACCCGCAGCCACGCGTGGAGGTGGCGCGAGCCCCTTCACTATGAGCGGGAGGCGGCCGAGAGAGCAGAGCCGAGCGGGGCGGCGATCGTCCCCCAGGAACCCCAATCCAGCCTGAAAGGGCGCGGGCCTGGCGGCTAGCAAGCTTGAGCCAAGACCCGACGCGAGATGTGGCTGCCGACCCTGTTCTCATCGTTCGCATCGTCGCCGTCGTCGTCATCGCATTGCCAGCGGCAATGCCACCATCACCACCACCATCATGATCAGCAGCAACATCATCATCACCACCATCATCATCGACACCATCATCATCATCATCATCATCATCATCATCATCATCATCATCATCATCATCATCATCATCATCATTCACCATCATCAGTATCGTCATCACCATCGTCATTGCCATTCGTCAATGGCATCATCATAACCATCACCGCCACCACCATACTCGTCGTCGTCATCACCACCATCACCATCACCATCACCATCACCATCACCATCACCATCACCATCATCATCATCATCATCATCATCATCATCATCATCATCATCATCATCATCAGCATCACCATCACCATCACAATCATCATCATCATCATCATCATCATCATCATCATCATCACCATCATGACCATCATCATCACCATCATGACCATCACAACCATCGCCCTCAAGAGGCAAAACACCATCCTCGTGGTCTCCCTTGAGCACGGCCACATGCAACGGCGCCTGGTTGTTGTTGTTCTGGGCCTCCGCCCCTCCCTTTGCGCCTCCGCGCGGCGAGCGGAAGCGGGAGCCAGCGCGTGAAAGGGGTCGGGGGGGGAAGGACAGGACGAGAACGGTGCCGTGATTCACCTGGCTCAAGATAATCCAACCATCAATGATGACTACCCCCCTAGGTGATCGTTAGTACCGCAACGACCATACAACACATTCGCGGGGGCGGAATTGAGCAGAGCGATACCGTTAGCACCGCACCAGGAAAAGCAAACACAACTAATGATTCCCCGCCCCGCGCGACCGACATCCACATCCACCGCATAAAAAAAGTATTCAACCGAATTCTATCGTGAGTATTGGCGGAATAAAGCAAGGGCCTTCTCCTCCTCCTCCTCCTCCTCCTCCTCCTCCTCCCCCTCCCCCTCCCCCTCCCCCTCCCCCCCTCCCCCTCCTCCTCCTCCTCCACCTGCTCCTCCTCCTCCTCCTCCTCCTCCTCCTCCTCCTCAGATGCCAGGCTAACGCTTCTGGGTGCTGGATGCGAATGAGGATGAGAATCTGGCGGCCCGTGCTATTGCAGCCCGTGTGGGGCACTCGGGAGGAGGAGGAGGAGAGAGGAGGAGGAGGAGGAGGAGGAGGAGGAGGAGGAGGAGGAGGGAGGAGGAGGAGGAGGAGGAGGAGGAGGAGGAGGCGGAGGCGGAGGCGGAGGAGGACGAGGACGACAACGACGACGATGACCGACGACGACGAAATCTTGAAGAATATTTGAACCTATCACGATCACGACCTCCGTGCTCCTCTGAGAGGAAGACCCCTCGCCCCCCTCCTTGCATCTGCTCGTGGCTTGCAGCTCGGCAAAAACCAGCCAAGCGAAGCACCCGCCGGTCTGGGAGGAGGGCGGAAGGACGGAGGGAGGAGGAAACGGCGGAGGAGGATGGATGGATGGATGGATGGAGGGAGGGCGAGGGGGAGGGAAGGCGGGTGGGGGCGGGAGGAACAAGTGAGGATGAGGGAGGTTCCTTGAGGCCTCTGGAGGTCCACGGAGGCTGGAAAAGATGCGAAGACATGACATGCCTGAACAACGGGCCTCGAGAAAGAGGAAGGAGCGAGAAGGGGGGAGACGGGAGGAGGGAGGTGCATGAGGGAGGCAGATGGGAGAAGGCGGGAGACGGGATGTGTGCGCAAACCGCGAGCGAGGTAGGGAGGAAGAGGAGGGGCCCATCCCCGTCTACCTCCCCCTCCTCCCCCGTCTCTTCCACCTCCTCCTCCTCGACCTCTTCAGGGGGAGGAGGAGGAGGAGGCCTCAGCACAGCTCCAGTCCTGGGGGCTGGCGGCAGAGGGCGCAGCCCTTCAGAGCAGGACTCAAGGGGCCCAGGGACACACAACAAAAAATACACCAATCATCCCAGGATTCCCTATATTGTCATGTGTTTTCTGAGGTTTTCGTCTCCCCCCCCAGTTCCCATACCTGGGAATCGACGAGTCATGGTGTCTGTGTATCTGTGTGTGTGTGTGTGTGTGTTCGTGTGTGTTCGTGTGCGTGTGTGCGTGTGTGTGTGTGTGTTTGTGTGTGTGTGTGTGTGTGTGTGTTCGTGTGCGTGTGTGCGCGCGTGTGTGTGTGCATGTGTGTGTGCGTGTTTTTTCCCTGCCTGGGAGGACAAGGACGCGCAAACGGCCCTGACAGAGCAACGAGCAAGCCTGAACGGACCGGCGCCGAGATCCAGAAGGCCGCTGCACGCAAGCCCTCGAGTCAGGTCAGGCATGTCCCCTTACACGCGGAGGTTGGAGAACAGATAACGAACACGTGCGCAACGATCATCAAACAGAGGAGGAGGAGGAGGAGGAGGAGGAGGAGGAGGAGGAGGAGGAGGAGGAGGAGGAGGAGGAGGAGGACTATGTTTAGACTATTGTTGGATATCCCTCCTGTCGAGGGCCGTGCCCGACTTGACCCCAGACCGCGCAGGTCGCCTCCCCTCGTGGAGATGCTCCTCGCGGCTGGGGGGCCCACTACAGCAGGGGCTGGACCACGAGAAACCTTCCACAAGAACCCCTCCTCCTCCTCCTCCTCCTCCTCCTCCACCTCCTCCTCCTCCTCCTCCTCCTCCTCTCTCCTCCCCTCCTCCTCTCCTCCTCCTCCTCCTCCTCCTCCTCCTCCTCCTCCCCCTCCTCCTCCTTCTCTCCTCCCCCTCCTCCTCCTCCTCATCCTCCTCCTCCTCCTCCTCCTCCTCCTCACCTCTCCCTCTCCTCCTCCCTCCTCCTCCTCCTCCCTCCTTTACTCCTCCTCCTCCCTCCTTTACTCCTCCTCCTCCTCCTCCTCCTCCTCCTCCTCCGCAGTAGGGGCTCGACAACAAGAAACCTTCAACAAGAAACCCAACCCCCGACATCCCAGAACGTCCATTGATTTTTGTCGTCGGAATGTTACGCTTCCCACAGCAAAACCATCGAAACCCACGGAACCCAGGGCACCCTGTAGGCAAGCACGGTGCTTCTTCTTGACATGGGTCTCCACTTAATGGGCACGATGAGGGTGCACCAAGAAACATAGACCCAGGCGAATAAGACGGTGACCAATGCTGACCTCTTGCTCATGGCTCTCGGCACGACCAAGTCGTGGCATGTCCTCCCTCCAGCCAGCCACCTCTACCGCGTGTCTCTCGAGACGCCAAGAACTAGAACCAGCCAATGCCACTTCGAGCCCCCGCCTTCCACAAGGTCGACTACCTGGCAACGGATCGACGTAGAACGATCGGCGCATGATAGAAGCACCAGCCGCGTTCCTGGGGAGGAAAACGAGAAAATTAAGGAAGAGCAGGATGTATCGTCAATGGCCCGAACAGATGATCTGCCTCGTGGGCTGCGAAGCTGTGGAAACAGGTGCAGCCTACGACGGAAAGACACGCTGATCGTTCGATCCTCCCTTCACTCTCATGCACCCTCTTCTGTATTTTCTCCCTGTCCCTCTCGTCGCCCTCCTCCTCCAGCTCCTCTTCCTCTTCCTCTTGCACGTTCGTCTCAGCTTCCTTGTGCTTTCTGTTCTCCTCGCTCTCGTCCTCTTCCTCTTGCTCCTCCTCCTCCTCCTCCTCTACCTCCTCCCCCTCCTCGTCTTCGCCAGCGTCGTCACAAGCTGTTGTTTTGTTCGTCAAGTCCTTGTCCTTCTCGTCTCCGAAGTACTGGTCGGCGTCGCCCTCCTCCACCTCCTTCTACTCCTACTCTTCCTCGTCCCCCACCCCTTCAACGTCCGCCTCTTCCTGTCCTCCACGCTGGGAGGAGGGAGAAGGAGGGACGTGGACAGAGGAGGAAGAGGATGAGGGACAAGGGGAGGAAGGATGACGAGGCGGAGGAGGGGGGATGGAGGAGAGGACGAAGGGGGAGGGGGGGAGGGGGCACAATGGTAGAGGATCAACGAGGCGGAGGAGGTAAAGGGAGAGGAGGAGGACGAGGAGTCGCATCGGCTCAATACAACATTATTGTCCAGCATGTATGCAACTTGTCCACACTCGCATACGAAGGCGACCCATCTGGAAACACAATCGGAAGGATACCATCTGTAGTCATGGCATGGCTACTTTTCCCGAACTCGATCGGAAGAATGCCAAGGACATCCGCGAACGGGCCAGAAAGATCCAGAAACTGCACTACGCTGACGCTCCAGCTAGCCGCGTGAATGCCCACTGATTTGGCAGCGTCTGCGGCCAGTCTGTGACACAAGTCTTCCCCCTGTTCTTTCCCTTTCCCTTGAGGGCCAGGGGGCGCTGATATAGCAACGACGTCTTCTCAAGGAGGCTCGGCGCACGAACTGTCCTTTTCGTTGTCGCTCCGCCGTTCGTGTTTAGGGGGCAGCCAGTCCACCCTCAAAATCAACACCCCAACAAGCAAAGCCGTTTTGCAAACACCAAGCATAGGGTCCGGGTGGTTGCTTCCTCCCTTGAAGACGTCTCCCCACACGCGGCCCTCCCCTTTCAGTCCTGCTGCCCCTGCGCCCCGCGCCCAGCGTTCTCCCCCGTCACCAGCCCTCGCGCCTGCTTCCGACGGCGCTGTCGACCGAAACAAGGTGTCTCCCAACGCGCGCGCGCTTCAAGCTGCTCGGAGACGAAGGGGAGGATGAGGAGGATGACGAGGAGGAATAAGAGGAGGAGGAGGAAGAGGAGGAGCAGGAGGAGGAAGCGGATGAGGAGGAGGAGGAGGAGGAGGAGGAGTAGGAGGAGGAGGAGGAGGGGAAGGAGGAGGCGGCGAAGGAGGAGGAGGAGGAGGAGGAGCAGGAGGAGGAGGGAGGAGGAGAAGGAGGAGGAGGAGGCGGAGGAAAAGGAGCAGGAGGAGGAGGGGGAGGAGGGAGGAGGAGGAGGGGAGGAGGAGGAGGAGAAGAAGAAGAGGACCAGTGCAAACCGAAGACTGAGCAAACGATGTATGAGTAAATCCTCACTCCAAGTTCCCTCTTCATAGGCCCCCTGAAAGGATTCGTGTCCAGTGAGGGAATGCCCCGTTGGGAGACAACAATTTGAGGACCCTGAAACGATCTGAAAAGTGCCAAACTACCATTCTTGGGACTCCAACGCCACAAATCAACCGGATTGCTGCGTCTCAGCGACCCTGACTCGGGCCAGCACACCGTTCCTGGGACTTCAAGCCCGCGAGTCCACATCACTGTTGCGCCCTGGCAGCCCCGAATCACTCCAAAACAGACGCCCACCAGCTCCCTGGGCGTAGGTGTTCTAGGTAGGCTCCTCTTCCAACCCCCTTCTTCTCCTTCGGGGAGGGGTTTGCTCCTCCCCCTGCCCCCTCCCCCCCTGGACCTGGACGGGGGGGGGGGGGGGCGAGGCGTTGGAGCGCCCAAGCTGGCCCAAGACGGCTCCAAGAGGGCCCCTGACGAGTCCAAGGTGAGCTCCAAGATGGCGCAAAGTAGCGCACGGTGCCTCACGATGGCCCCCAAGATGCTACAGGAGGCACCAAACACGTTCCAAGACGGCCTCGAGATGCGTCCGAGACCTCCAAAGAGGCCCTCAAGAAACCAACATTCTTCAACACTTACGGAAAATCAGTGGTGTTTGCGTTCTTGCCTTTTCACTTCCGATGGCCATCCGAGGTCTCAAGATGGCCCAAGAGAGCCCCAGGAGCGGCCCACGAGAGCCCCAAGACGGCCCCCAGAGCGCCCAAGAGCGCCTCAAGGGCGCTCCAAGAGGGGCCCAGGAGGCGATGTTCGGTGCTCCCAAGGGGGGTGGGTACTTGGAGTGCCCCTCTTTTTTGATCGACGTCTTCAAAAAATGGCCCCAAGAGCGCCCCTGGAGTTCTCAAGAGTGCCCCGAGAGCACACGGCCCCAAGAGGCCTCCAAGAGGCCTCCAAAAGACTCCCAAGAGACCCCATACCAGGCCTCAAGAGGATCCCCGACGTACTTAACTCTACCTCCTTCTCCTCCTTCTCGTCAACCGCGTCCTCGCCCTGCTACACCTTCTCCTCCTCCTTCCTCTTCCTCCTCCGACGTCGACGACGACAGTTCCTCCTCCATCCTCCCCCTCTTGGGGTATATGACGGCTTCCCCCGCCCTTTGTTGTTCTGCATGCTCCCCCACTTCCCTGATCTCCTCAACTCCCCTGGGCATCGTTTCTGGATCGGCTGGTGGGGATGTTTTGTCGCAGTCGCAAGCGAAAGCGCAGGCGGCGAGCAACGGAACGGGCGGGCCGCGCGCGAACCAAAATTGCCTAACGCGCCAGCGAACAGGGGCCTAGGCGGCACCTCGGATCACCCGAAGCGGAAGGGGGTGCGGGCTGCAGCTGCCAGGAACCAGGTCCAGGAGCGCGCACATGCAACTAGCCAACCGAAGTCGAAGGCTGGTGGGGATACTGTTTCGGTCGCGTCCACCAGCGAAGGCGCTAGCGGAGTCAGAAGCGCTACGGGTCACGACAGCGGCCTAATTAGCAGCTAAACGCGCCGCGAGCCGGCCGGCCCACTCATCCAGCACCGGCTGACTGCGCGGGGGGAGCGGCAAGCTGAGGGCGAAGCGTCAACAAATCCTTATACGTTAACCATGGGAACCACAGGCACTCCTACAACTGTATAAGAAAAAAGTGCGCGGCGGTTAGGCGAGAACCACATTTTAGAAAGACACCGCCTTCAATCCGTGAAACTCTTGTACATGTTAAAACGAATGCGTGCGGCGCTGCGGCCGAGACCACAGTTTGAACACCGCCCGCCTTCAATCCGTGAGCCACTGGCAAATTCTTAAGACGAGAATGCGCGGCACTAAAGCGAGAACCACATTTTGAATACGGCCCGTCCTCAATCCGCGAAGTTCTTACAACTTTTCAAGACGAGTGCGCGCGGCGCTAGGGCGAGAGCTACATTTTGAAGCTGTCAGCCCTCCATCTGTGAAGCTGTCGCCAATCCTTAAAAAGCTTCAGGATCATACGTGGTATGGGAGTGTCGGGCGAACCGCCTGGTCTGCCCTTCCGACTGGCCTTGGCGTGCGACAGTGTTTGTTCATTGAAAAACGGAGTAGTAATGAGGGAGGACCCCTCCCCGCCGACGGCAGCGACCCCGCGCTCAGCAGCAGGCCCACGCCCTCGTGCCAGCGGTGCTGCACGGCGACGTGCAGGGCCGTGTCGCCCGTGGGGCTGCAGGACTCCAGCGTGATGGGGACGACGCCCTGCTGCACCTCGGCATGGGGGCGAGTCACCCTGCCTCCTCTCGCCGCCGTCCTCCTCTTTCTCAGCCCCGAGTCTGAGACAATCGAGCTCGAGCGGAGGGGACCCGCGAGAGGACTCAGGACCCCTCCGAGGGCCACGCTGCAATTTGAGAATCGCGCTCTCGCGAGGGACTGCCTCACACATCATGCAGGAATTGCGCTCTCGCGTGGGACTTCTTCGCAATTTTCGCCGCCGTGCCCCCTGGCACGCTGAGGCGTCGTAGAATGCCAACTGCTGTCTGGCAGGGTCTTTGTAATCTTCTACGGGGCCGCTACCTCCTCGGGAAAAGCCTCGCTGCATGCACCAGCCATGTTCCAGGAAGGTGCTTGGGCGGCCATGGCACCTCCCTGGGGCTTTCCGAGGCTTCCATGACGGCCCAGGAGTCCCCCAAGACGGTCCAAGAGGGCCCCGAATTGCGATCGCTCGAAAGCGCACAAGATGGCCTCAAGATGGCGCAAGAAGCTTCCAAGGGTCTCCCAAGAGGGCCCCCCAAACCAATAAGCATTGATGTTCCTTCCGTTTTGAAGGATTTTGGCGGTCTCGCCTTTTCGATTTCCCGACGCTCCAAGACGGCCCAAGAGGCCCCCAAAACCATCCCAAAACGGCCCAGGAGGCCCCCAAGAGGCCCCCAAGACGGCCTAAGAGCGCCACTGTGGGTACCCCAGACGGCCCAAGAGGGCCCCAAGACGGCCCCCAACGGGGCCCCAGAGAGGGAACACGAACCGAAAATCCAAGCCTTCCGCCCGAAAGGGGGTTCAGGAGGCCTCAAGAGGCGCCCACGATGCCCCACGAGGCCCCGAAGGGGCCCCCAAGAGGCCCCCAAACGCCCCCCGATAGGCTTTAGGCCTGCTTCCAAGATGCCCCCGAGACGCCTCCCACGGTATCCCACATAACATACACTGGGCTTACAACCCACAACCCAAGCGTGGCGGCGGGACTTGCCGTAGGCAGCTGGTATTCAGACGCCGCGCCCTCGATGCTCCGGAATCGCGCTTTCGCCCATGCTTTTCTAACGACTTACATGGGAATCGCGCTACCGCTCGAAATCTCTGGGCGATTCATGCAGAACTCACGCTTCAGCAACCCGCTTGCTCGACCTGGCCGCCTGGGCCCGCCTTCCCGACCCCCCCTTTAGGGTCTACCCGCCCGGTCTGCCCGTCTGGTTCTTCCACGTGCTGTGCTCCCAGCCCCCCTCCTGCTAATCTGTCTCGTGCTCCTTTCTTACCCCTCCCCTGACATCCATCCTCCCTTCCCCTGCCTGCTTTAGAGGCTGCACCAATTACGCGCGGCAGGTGAATGATCCTGTGACGTACCCAACCCTTTCTATACATGTGGCGATTATACTCAGGACCACTCAGTGCTGACTGGCATTCTGAAGGACCCGCAGTGCGCAAGAAGAGCACCCAACAGTGATTTCAGAAGAGCGCAACAAGAAGAGGAACGGCAAATCGCAAGCCCACCAGGGGGCGGCGAGGTCCCGAGGTGGTCCGCGTATGACGCACCTCCGCTGTACCTCCCAGGAGCCCACGAAAGTGGCGACAGGTGCGCAGATCGCAAGCCCCCCAGGGGGCGGCGAGGCCTCCCAGGAGTCCACGAAGATGCAGACACATTCACAGATCGCAGCCCCCCAAGGCACCGCGAGCTATAATGGTGGTCCGTCCTCCGCTGGGCCTCCCAGGAGCCCACGAAAATGCAGACAATTTCGCAGATCGCAGCCCCCCACGGCACTGCGAGCTATAGTGGTGGTCTGCGCGGGACGTACCTCCGCTGGGCCTCCCAGGAGCCCACGAACATGCCGACAAGTTTGCAGATCGCACCCCCCCCCAAGGGCACCGCGAGCTATAGTGGTGGTCCGCGTGGGACGTACCTCCGCTGGGCCTCCCAGGAGCCCACGAAGGTGCCGACAATTTCGCAGATCGCAGCCCCCCAAAGCACTGCGAGCTATAGTGGTGGTCCGCGTGGGACGTACCTCCGCTGAGTCTCCCAATAGCCCACGAAAGTGCCGACAATTTCGCAGAGATCGCGGCCCCCCCAAGGCACCGCGAGCTATAGTGGTGGTCCGCTTGGGACGTACCTCCGCTGGGCTTCCCAGGAGTCCACGAAAGTGGCGACTGTTGCGCAGATCGCAGCACCCCCCCCAGTGATCGCAACCCCTAGGCAAGGCCACCCAACAGACAAGACGGCGAGGCAGGAATCAGGAACCAGACGGCAGACGAGCACAGAAGGCAGGAGCGAGGCGGCGGGAGGAGGGTGGAGACCACACTGCTCTATTCGAAGCGAGAACCCAACACAGGAGGGTTGGGAAGAAAATACACCCCAAAAGGGGGTACGCTCGACGACAAAGCAAGCGGATATCGAGGGTTTGGGGTATACGTGTTGTTGAATCCCCACTCTTGACCAATCTTAAACTGATTGTCGTTGCTGTTGTTGAATCCCCACTCTTGAAAACAATTGTTGTTGATCCCCCCTCGCTGGTGCACGTTGTGTTTTCTCAATCGGTATGTGTCCCCCTCGGGGCTCGCACCCGGTTTTGTTTGTCAGCGCAAGTTTTCGTGCCCAAGCTGTGTCATTGGCCCCCAGGCTACAACAGCAGCGGCTCCCGCCTGCACTCTCGCGTGGGACTTCCTCGCAATGTATTCAGACGCCGTGCCCTCGACGCTCAAGAATCACAATCTTGCTTTGGCTACTCTCACGATTTATTTGGGAATCGTGCTATCGCTCGGAGGCTTCCTCGCGATTCATGCAGGACTCGCGCTTCGGCGTCCCGCTTGCTCGACCTGGCCGCCTGGGCCCGCCTTTCCGATCCGCCCGATGGGTCTGCCCGCCAGATATGCCAGTCTGGCTCTGTCACGGCCTTTCTGCTCCTTGCCCTCACGTCGGGCGTGTCCCCTACAGAGGGATTTTCGACGACAGATACAAATACCCCCCAAATATTCCCAAATTGCCAAAAACACTCAAACAATAATCCCCACACTATTTTTTTACTGCTTGAGAATATTCCCCCTGGAGATGGACACGCCCGACTTAACATTACCCCCCGCCTGCTGACTTCTCTCGTGCTCAAGAACACGTACCCCAAGGGGGGCCGCGCCCTCGACGCTAGGAGAGCCGCGCTCTCGCTGAATATATTGTCCGCACGATGTGTGCGGGAATCGCATCGCACTCGGGACTTCCCCGCGATTCGTGCAGGACGCACGAGGAGGGAGGAGGAAAGGGGGGGGGAGGCGAGTCGAGGAGGAGCGGGGAAGCGGGGAAATGAGGATCAGGAGGACGGAAGGGAAGGTTAAGGGTTAAGGACGCACGCTTCGGCAACCCCTCGCGTCCCCACATTCCATCCGTCCTCTCTTCCCCTGCCCTAGGGGCTGCTCGAAGTACACGCTGCAGGTAAGAAAGATGTACCTGTAAGCGGGTACGACCAAAGACGAAGACGGCGAGTATGGAGGGTTTGGGATATACGTGATGAGTCGCCCGCGAGCAGATAAGAGCGAACGGTATTACAAGATTTGTTATTGAACTCTCACGACTGAAGAATAAGTATTACTGATCCCCCCTCTGGTGCACATTATAGATTCTCAATTGAAGTGCCCCTCCCGGCGCTCGCACCCTTTTTTTATTAGGGAAAGTCTTCCTCCTCAAACTGGGCCCCTGGCCCGCGGTTTACAGCAAAAACGGCTCCCGCGTGAAACGTCCTCTGGATTTACTCAAGAATCGCGCTCCTGCCTGAGACTTCCTTGCAATTTACTCAGGCGCCGCGCTCTTGCCACTCAGGAATCGCGCGATCACTGGGGACCTCCTCAAATTAAATTCGGAATCGCTCTCTCATTGGAAACTTCCTGACAAATCAAGCAAACCTCACGAAAAAATATATACCCACCAAAAGTGGTATGATCGAAGACGAAGAGGGCGGGTATCGAGGGTTCGGGAAATGCACGCTGAATGACACTCGAGCAGATCAGAGCGAACAATCTTACAATGTTTGTTGCTGTTGCTGTTGCTGTTGTTGCTGCTGCTGCTGTTGTTGTTGTTGTTGTTGTTGGTGGTGGTGCTGTTGTTGTTGTTGTTGAACATTATTAATTCTAAAGAATAATTATTGTTGGGCCCCCTGGTGCGCGCCCCCCCCGCCGCGCCTAGGCCGCAGCCACGTTTTCATCATTTTCGTGAGGAAGCCTCAGGTAATTCGAGGTGATCAAGATCCGGTTGTTTTGTTGTAATCCGTTTTCCCTTGCAAAAAACACTATAAAATGACATTTCTTGTTCTAATATAATCAAATTTCAAGAATCCCTTGTAAAAAATAAGGTAAAGTGGACATTCGCGCGCGCAAGACGAAATCCTTCCAAAAGCTTAGTGTTCGGAGCGATTTCAACATAAAAACATCAAAAAACCAATGGTTTTTCAACAAAAAAATGTCAAAATCTCATCCCGCGCGCTCTTGCGGATTCGTAGGAAACCCAACACTTTTTCAACATTTCTGTCAAACGGGCTTTTGCGAGCAACTTTTTCGAACTTCTGCGACAACGGTTGCGCACCTGCCAGGGCCATCATCCCTGTCAAATAATACCATGCGGGACACATTCGTTTTTTCTTCGCGCGCGCACGCCGAAATCTCCAAAAACCATTGGGTTCTGTGGGTGTGTACCCCACGCCAGTGTAGTAGCCACGGTCGTCCGCACGCCACGAAGTGAAGTGTCCCAACGTCATAGGGCGGGAAGCTGGGTTTGGGTGGTCGCGAAGAGTCGTTTGGATATTTGGTAGAGCTTGTAATGCCCCCCCACGAAGTGGGGGTATTGCCTGGTGTCGTATGAAAACCCTGGCACTGGGGAGAACACCACGCGTTCGGGTAAAATGATTGGTGTTGTTGTTGTTGTTGTTGTTGTTGTTGTTGTTGTTGTTGTTGTTGTTTTTGTTGTTGTTTTTGTTGTTGTTGTTGTCGTTGTCCTGCTAGTTTTGTTACTGGTGTTGTTGGTTGTGGTGGTGTGTGTGCGTGTTTTTTTCCAACGGGGGAAAGTCTGGGTCCCCGGAGGTCCCTGGACGTCCCCGCCGGTGGCGCCAATCAGGGAGCCGGGAGGGCGAAACGGCGAGGCACGAGCTCCACTGCCGACCACGGGAGCCCCATGCACCTTTGCTCATGGCAATCGTGCTTCTTACCTCGTGTTCCTCCTGCCTCCCCTTCCCAGTCTTCGGTGGCAACCCATGGGAGCCTCCCATACCATCTTGTCGGCTCCTGCGAATCGACGCTGAATCGATGCTAACCGACGCTACGTCGACACTAAATCGGCACTGAATCGACGCTAATCGACGTTAGCCGGCGCTAAATCGGCGCTGCCCCATCGACTCCTAGACGCGAATCGACGCCACAGACAGAATTGAGAGGGTATACCAGGTTCCCATGATTTACGTGAGTCGACGCTAAAGACTGAATTCAGAGGGTATACCAGGTTCCCATGATCTACGCGAATCGACGCTACAGACGGAATTTTCTAGAAAGTATACCCGGCTCCCATGATTCAAGCGAGTCGACGCTGAAGACGGAATTTGAGAGAATATGCCAGGCTCCCATGATCTGCTGCCCGGACCAGTCTGTGCCACAGCTTGCTTCGAACGTGCCCCAGCGCAACCCGAGCGCAACTCAGACCCGCGGTGCCGCCGATCCACCCGTTCCTTTTGCCTCGGGGGCGCGGGGCATGCCGTCAGGGGTGGACCGGCTCGGGGGGCAAACATAGTAAAGGGGGCCCAGGGACACACAAATAAATGCACACAATTCCCAGGATTCCGCACATTTTCCCACATGTTCTGGGTGTTCTTCCCCCCCACTTCCTACATTTTCGCATATTTTCCTGGGAGACGACGATTAATTGTGTCTGTGTGTTTTTTCCCCTCCTGACATAGAGGCCTCCTGGATGGGGTCGGGTCGGAGGATCGCGCCGCGTCGCCACTGCATCGCCGATGCATTGGCGATACATTGGCGACACATCGGCGACGTCGGCGATGTATCGGCGCCATCGGCGTGGAGAAAATCGGACTCCACATCGAGCCGAAATCGCCGATGCATCGGCGATGCGGCGCGATCCACCGACCCCATCTAGTCGGACCCCATCTGGGAGGCCTAGTGTCATCGGGGACGCATCGCCGATGGGTCGGCGATCATCGGCGGCGAGCGAAGGGGGGGAAGTGAGAGGGAGAAGTCAGAAGGCGGCGGGACTTCTCGGAAGCCCCCGCGCCTCCTGATGAGTGTTCTTTCTTGCTTGCTTGTCCTTGGGGAAGGCTTAGAACACTTCTCAGGAGACCGGGGGACGGGGCGAGCCTTCTGAGAAGGCCCGCCTCGTCTCGCTCCCCCCCCCTCGCTCGCCGCCGAGATGAGCCCTCGATGGCGAAACCGCACGTTCCTGGGCGGGGTGGCCCACTGTTGGGCCCTCCTTGGCGATGAGTGGACGATTGGGGATCCGCGCGTGCCCTCTGAGCCAATCCCCCTCCCGCGATCCGACGCTGCGAAAAACGGCACGCAGCTACAACATCGCGACAGACCACGACCCGAACCCTAAGTCCCATCTCTGTCCGCGTGATTGTTCGAGACGGACCTGTCCGCGATGGTCCTGGGGCCCGACACGTGGCCCTGGAACGGCGGCGGCGGCGGCGGCCTCACCAGAGGGAGGAGGAGGAGGAGGAGGAGGAGGAGGAGGAGGAGGAGGAGGAGGAGGAGGAGGAGGAGGAGGAGGAGGAGGAGGAGGAGGAGGAGGAGGGAGGGACGAGGAGGAGGAGGAGGGGAGGAGGAGGAGGAGGAGGAGGAGGGGGCGAAAACGCCCTTCTCGAGAAATCGTGGCCGCGGAACGGCGGCGGCGGCGGTCCTCCGTAGCAGCCGCGTCGGCGGCCCCATACCTCCGGCGACGTGATCCTTTTCCAGCCCGCAGCCCTGTCTTACCTACCAGACCACCCCAACCCAACCCGCAGACCCGAAATCCCTTTCGGGGGGGAGGGTACGGGTTCCACCTGTTTTTTTTTGATGTTCCCCGACGACCCCCCCCCAACTGGGAGAAGGGGGCGAACTTGGGGCTTTCGGGGTGGGTTGGAGGTGGCTTGCGAGGTGGTGAATCTCGACGCCCTCCCAGGGCCAAGCTTTCGCCTCGGATCCATCTTGCACGGCTCCGGGGTCCGATGCCGGGCCCCAGCGGCCGAAACCAAAGGGAAAGGCCTGGACTGAACGAAACACACCGGCGGAGACCCCCTCAGAGAGAATCCCGGGGTGGTCCTGGAGGGGTGCCAGCGGGTTGTGACCCCCCCCCAGGGGGAGCAGCCCTCCTTTGGATTAGCGTTCCCGTTGGATTTTCGCCCCCCTGGTTTCTTTGCTTCCCCTGCTGCTCATTCTCCTTCTTCGATTTCGACTTCGAAATCCCAATCAAGCTTGGTTCCTGATCGTCTCTTCGCTGCTCTGGCCACGCCTGCAAAAGGCCACCTGACAAAAAGGGCCCAAACCAGCTTCGCCGAGAAGCTGGGGCAAACCACGGCCAAACTCGGTCGGAACGCCTGCTCCTCCTCCTCCTCTTGCTCCTCCTCCTACTCCTCGCACGTGCCTCGGAATGAAGTTCGAGCTCGTCTAGCCGCGCCGCATCTGCCACCGAACCGTCATCGCGATTGCGGCAGTCTTTGAATTTGAGATCGGCTCGGGGCAGCAAGCTCGGATAGCGTGATAAAGCCAAGTGGAAGCGGCGAGAACAGACAGAGAGACGCGGGACGGGTGGTGGAGGCCCAGACGGGCAATGGGACACGAGGCAAGGAAGGGGAGATCAACAACGGAGCAGAGATGGGTGAGGAATCTGGGGCATCGCCAATAGTGCTCTTGAGCATCAGCCGCGGGGGCACTACAGCCCAGTCGGCAGGGCTCACTTTGCTGAAAACGGGCCGCGGTGGGCCAGCCATGCGTCAGGAATTTGAGAACCGCTAGCGCTTTCGCTGTCGGCAGCGCTGCAACCGAAGTCTGGATGTCAGACCAGGGGAGCGCACGGCAGCGGCAATAGTTATCGGAAGCCAACTAGCCAACCTCTGGGCGAATACCTCAGCAAGGCATGCAGGGTGCAGGTGCTCTCGCATACCGGTGGTGAGCAATCTCTGGATTTTGAAAGTTTGTCCTTCAGGCGTGGCCTCGGTCTTCTGGCGGAGAGAGTCGAGGGCAGCAAGAGCAGCAGCAAACACCCGCCTTCTCGCGGCAAGGGACGAGGAGATGAGACCCAAGCCAATGTCCTCCTACTCCTCCTCCTCCTCCTCCTCCTCGTCCTCGTCCTCCCTCCTCCTCCTCCTCCTCCTCCTCCTCCTCCTCCTCCTCCTCCTCCTCCTCCTAGCGAACAGGCTCGGCGGCACCAGCCAGAAGGCCTTCGCAACCACATCGTCGGAGATCTGGTGAACATGTTCTTATTCGGCGTTTCGACATTGAGCGACCAGGGGGGGGGAGGGGGGGGATCTGGTTCCGAACCTTTGCTTCTTGCGACTGTTTGAAACCGTGCGTCTTATGGGGGAGACCCCACCTGCCCGAAGCAGGCGCCACAAACCGCCAAGATCTACTCCATGGGGGGTGGGGTGGGGGTGTGGGAAAGGGGGGATCTGGCTCCGAACCTCTGCTTCTTGCGACTGTTTGAAACCGTGCGTCTTATAGGGGAGACCCCACCTGCCCGAAGCAGGCGCCACAAACCGCCAAGATCTAACTCCATGGGGTGGGTGGGTCGGGGGGGGATGGGAAGGGGGGGATCCTGCTCCGAACCTCTGCTTCTTGCGACTGTTTGAAACCGTGCGTCTTATGGGGGAGACCCCACCTGCCCGAAGCAGGCGCCACAAACCGCCAAGATCTAACTGCATGGGGTGGGTTGGGTGGGTGGGGGGTGGGGCGAGGACCCGCGCCGATCGGCAAAACAACGAATGAGAAAACGATCACCTGGGTTGGCCGCGGCCGCGCGCCTGCTTCAGGGCCTGCTCCAGCGCCTTCGCCGACTTCGCCGCCGCGGCCTTGTGCAGCAGCAGCGGTGGGGCTCCGAGGGCGTCGCGCAGCGGCTCGTCGCCCGCGGCGTCCATGGGCGTCTCGCCTCGTCCCCCCCCCCCCCCCTCTAAGGAGGCCCAGGGACACACACACACACATAAATAGACGCAAATCCCAGGATTCCCCATCTTCCCTCTCAGTTCGGGCGGCAGGAGGGGGGAGGGGGGAGGAAAAGGAAGGGTCAGGAGGCAGCGTCTGGGAGGTCTTCCCAACAGCGGGTTGCAGGAGGCTGGCGGGCCAGATTGAGGCGCTAGTAATTAAGCCCGGTCGCGGGGCCATCAAGCCGCATGGGCATAGATGAAGGCCGGGGTTGAACCAGATTGAGCGGGATTCGACGCAGCTCGCTGGGATCAGGCGCCGGACTCGGCCTCCTTCCACCACGGCTATACACCAGCGCCGATGCTGAACAGTAAACCTCCCAGGAGTGGCATCCTAGAGAGGGGGGGCGGAGCCCAGACCCCCTCGCGTCGTGACAAGCATCACGACGGCAAGGCTTGGTGGACCTTCGGCCTCGGGGGGGCCTTCGCCGGGACACGAGGCGTCCACAAATCAGCTCGGGACGAGAAGCTGGCCCCTGCTAAGGATGATCCAGACCTCGGGCGGTTCTCGTCGTGGAGGGGAAGCACGACGTCCGAGCAGGGGGGTCCGACCCGACCCGAGGATGGGGGTCCCTCCCTGACGTTGCCCCTGAGACCCTCCTGCCCCCTCCCCATTCCCCTGCCCCGTATGGCACATGAATGGGGGGGGCGACTGACCTTCCGACGGATCGTCCCCACCCCTCCACCGCCCCTCAACGTGCGTCCGAAATCCCACCAGCCCTTTGGGCGTGAGTGGTTTAGAGAGCCCGCTCTGTTCTCAACCCTCCTTCCCCTTCGGCGAGGGGTTTACCCCTCCCCCTACCCCCTCCCCCTGGGCCTGGAGAGGTCCCACCGCGGGTGGTCAGGGGAGTCCTTTTCGACTTCTTGGAGGGCTAAAAAACGACACCCCTCACGAGGATTCTGGCCCCGACGGGGGGAGGAAGAAAAAACCCTCTCCTCTTCTTTGAAGCCAAAATCATTGATTTTACTACGGTTTTGGCCCCATTTTGGCCTTCCGAGGGGGCAGCGTTCCTGAACCCCCCCCCTTCTTTCAAGGCAAAACCATTGATTTTACGAAGGTTTTGGGCCCATTTTGCCCTTCTGAGGGGGCAGCGCTCATTGAAGCTCCCCTCTTCTGTGATCGATTTCCTCCAAGATGGCCCCAAGAAGCGCCCAGGAGGCACCAAGAGGCCCCAAGATGGCCCCAAGAGGCCCCCAGGAGGCCCCCACGAGGCCTCCAAGAGGCCCCCAAGATGCCCCCAAGAGGCCCCCAAGAGGCCCCAAGAGGCGCCGAAGACGCCCCAAGAGGCCTCCAAGAGGCTCCAAGAGGCTCCCCCCAGGCACCCAAGACGCTCCTGGAAGCCCCTGGGGCCGCCAAGAGGCCCCGAAGACGCCCCAAACGGCCTCCAAGAGGCTCCCAAGAGGACCGAACAGGCTCCCCCGAGGCACCCAAGACGCTCCTGGAAGCCCCTGGGGCCGCCAAGCGAGGGACGAGGGGCCCGAACGACTCACACCACGAAGAGCCCGAACGACTCACACCAGAAGGAGGGGCCCCAACGACTCAGACCAGGACGAGGCGCCCGAACGACTCACACCACGAGGAGCCCGAACGACTCACACCACGACGAGGGCCCCGAACGACTCACACCACGAGGAGCCCGAACGAGTCACACCAGGAGGAGGGGCCCGAACGACTCACACCAGGACGAGGGGCCCGAACAACTCACACCACGAGAAGCCCGAACGACTCACACCAGGACGAAGAGCCCGAACGACTCACACCACGAAGAGCCCGAACGACTCACACCAGGAAGAAGGGCCCGAACGACTCACACCAGGACGAGAAACCCCAAACGACTCAAACCACGAGGAGCGCTTTCTCTCCCTCCTCCTCCGCCTCGTCCTTCTCCCGCTCCCACCACAAGGAGGATGTACAAGGAGGCGGGAGGAAGGAGGAACAGGGGAGATATGCGGGGGCAGGCGGAAACACGCCTGAAAAACACGATTGTCGGCATGCTTCGCACGAGTGGCTGTTTTGAGATGGGCTGGTGGGGATACGCGAAGCGTAAAGAATTCCCCCCCCACCCGGCCCAGGAACTCGAGCTGCAAAACTGCTATCCCCGCCCCCCAATCCCGCCCCGACGGCGCGCGCCCATCCCCCCCCTCGAACCCGAGGGGAGGAGGAGGAGGGAGGAGGGAGGAGGGAGGAGGGAGGAGGGAGGGGGGAGGAGGGAGGAGGGAGGGGGGAGGGGGGAGGGGGGAGTAGGAGTAGGAGTAGGAGTAGGAACCAGTGGCGAGGCCAGTTCAATCCACACTACCCGCGGCCCCTCTGGGTCTTCTCGGCTTTGCTGAGGACCTTGGGTGTTAAATTAGCACGGATTCTATCTAGATATTATCTGCCTGTGGGGGTGCATCGGCGAGAACATTCCTTGCCAAGGGCACGCAGCTGCTTATCAGCAATGGCCCCACACCTCCCACATAACCATGTCTTCAAACTCACATTCACATTGAGGAGATGAGATGGGTGTAGCCAGCCCCCCGCCACATGCACACGAGATCCAGGAGACGGGGAAAATATGGCACCGTCGACATTGTACAACTTCGGACACGGGGAATTCCAGAAATCCTGAAGGGTAGCTTGCGTCGCCGAGCCGTGACACTTCAAACACCGTCTCCGATCATCGGTTAGTTCATGCTGAGACATGAGCGGGGCGAGAGCAGCAGCAGCAGGGGGCGGAGGGGGCAAGGGCGGGGGGGACCCCCTGCTTTTTCCTCTCAACCTCAAGCTGCTTATCCTTAGCGAAGCAATCTAAGGTGGCCCTGAGCAATCGGAGCCGCACCAACCATGCTCTCTCATGCAAGTGGACACGATACCTGTCGGCCTCAGGGACCCTCCATGGCTGCCAGGCCTGCCAGCTCATCGGCCACCAGGTTCCCCAAGACAAGATTTCGAGAAACTCTACCGTCAACAATGTCACCTGGCCCACTGTGGGAGTGGGTGAAAATCACAGAAACATGCTCATGACACCTATGCTGCAACATCCTACCTATCTCCTCCCAGAGGTCGGCATCTTCGCCCGAAGGAAACTTATGCAACTGCCGGTGCCACCCCTGGGAGACATAATCACAGTCCGTTATATAGCAAAGCCAATCCTGCGACATCCACACTGCGAGGGCGAAAGCCTGAAATTCCCCTCGCGCAACAACCTGCCGCCTGCCTACCAACGGGCCATATACACAAGCATCAATCTGAACGCTGGGCATGAGCTGTGGGCACAAGGCGATGGCGACTCCTACCCTACGCATCCGAGGATCCCTCGACTCAGGGCCTCCCGAGGCGTCCCCAAAGACCTGGATAGGCGCCGTCGGGGATCCATGGCCCCAAGCACCAAGGTCCAACGGGGGCCCCGAAAATTTCCACTGAGCCTCAGAAACGGGGGGCGGAACGGCAGTCCAGCCTCGAGGTAAAAGTCCACGCAACCAAAAGGCCTCACAAGTGGCCGCCTGGGTCTGAGCCTGCATCACCAGCTCGTCGGACATGGTGTATGGCTCAGCTCCCTGATTGCAACGGCACGTCCAATACCTGTGGAGAGGCGTCTCGGCTGCTTCTCCACAGCGATCACAGTCAGCAGTCCTGGGATACCGCTTCAACTCCGCCTTCTTGCGAGCGTTGGGCCAGCAGCCGCCCGCCGCTATCATCACAAGAATCTCGGCCATCCTCTTGCCGTTATCCAGACAACTGATTTGATTCAAAAGGAGGAGGAGGAGGAGGAGGAGGAGGAGAAGGAGGAGGAGGAGGAGGAGGAGGAGGAGGGGTGGCGATTCTCATGCCATCCATGCCATCTGGAGTGCTCGGCCGGGGACGCGCCTCGACCCAGATCAGCGCCAGCCCGACGAGGGGGGCCCAGGCCAGAAGCGGACTCCGAGCGGGCGGTCGCTCTCCGCCTCTTCGCTCGAAGGGGTGGCTCGTGCCCGAGGCCTGGTCTCCTCGGGCACGCCTGGCACTGGTGGTAAGCGTACCCAAGGGCCCAGCTCCTTGAAGTGCCCATGACACGGCCGGCGATTCTTAATTCTTGGCCCGTCAGCAGAACAAGCACCTGTGACCTTACGACCCCCCAACTGCCCAGGTATGAATACAAACTTGTGGCGCTCCGCGCGGATTTCTTGGATCTGCGCTGGAGCCCCCTCCCTGGCGCGCTCCGCGCGCCAGGGGCGGCGCCGGAGGCGCCGCCGGGGGGGGGGGCCCGTCGCGGTTTCACGTCACATCATGGTCACGAACGCCGCGGCCCAGGTGATGGGGGAGCCATTAGCCCAGGTCTCCGACTGCCTGATCCTTTCAGTCTGGGCGTTCTGCCTGGACCTCGGCCTCTTGGGCCACTTCTCGCCCAAGAGCAACGATCAGAAGCGGACCCAGGGCGAAAAACTGGCCCTGGGAAAGTGGTCGGGTCCTCTGGGGCCGCGCCTCGGAACAGCTCTCACTGTGGGATGCCTGGCGGATGCCTGGCGAGGGGGGCGGGGTGCTCGGATCACATCGGGCGTGACGTTGGGAGGAGGAGGGGAGGAGGAAGAGGAGGGGAGGAGGACGGAGGAGAAATGGAGGAGGAGAATGAGGAGGTGGAGGAGGAGGAGGAGGAGGAGGAGGAGGAGGAGGAGGAGAATGAGGAGGAGGAGGTGGAGAAAGAGGAGGAGAAGGTGGAGGAGGGTGGCGGGGGATCGACGGTTGCAGGTAAGGGGCCCGTTAAGGGGCCCCTTCAAGGAGCACCCCTCACCCTAAGACGAAGCCAGGACGAGGACAAATTCGCGCGAGGATAAATCGAGAATCTCTGAGATCCGGCGGCTCTGGACTATGAATCGGGCACCGCGGCCTTCTCAGAGCGTTCCGGAACGCTCTGATAGCCTTTCGGAGCGCTCGGGAACGGCTTCATCCTCGTCCAAGCCCCGTTGCACCCCCATCAGGGGACGCCCGAACTTTGCGCCACTGTTGCAACGCTGGCCGCAGATCCAAACCATAAGGCTGTCACCGCGGCCAGGGTAGTCGCTTCGACTGCAATTCCAATTTGAATTGGCGGGCCTGTGACGGGACGCTTGAACACTGAACTTATGTCCTTACGACAGACGCATCAGAACAGACGGTATCACAGTTTAAGCGAATAGGGTTGAAATCGTCTTACGTATCTGGGCGACGCTGTTGTATCGTGCGTTCTGTTCTCGGACGGCTATGCTTCATGCAATCAAACTAAGAACATCCTGCTGATGAGGGGGAGGAAGGAGTATAAGGAAGAACATGCTTAGTCCGAACACGGAAAAACTCAGGCTTATCATGCTGCTTCACATAATCCAACTCATGGATCTCCTCCGTCCCTCTCCCCCCTCCCCCTCCTCCTCCACCTCCTCCTCCCTCCTCCTCCTCCTCCTGCTCCTCCTGCTCCTCCTGCTCCTCCTGCTCCTTCTGCTCCTTCTGCTCCTGCTGCTCCTCCTGCGCCTCCTCCTCCTCCTCCTCCTCCTCCTTTCCTCCTCCCCCTCGAGTAACACATGCTAAACAGGTCCCTTCCCATCATTACCCTCACGCACCTCCTCCGTTTCCCTACTCCCCCTCCTCATCCTCCTCCCTCTTCTCCTTTTTCTCCTCCCTCCCCCTGCCCCTCCCCGTCCCCCTTTTCCTCCCCCTCCCCGTCCCCCATTCCCCACTCCGAGACGTGTCGGTAAGGCAGGCCGGGCGTTTCGCCTGAGACTTCCTCACCAATTATGTTCCTGAAGCTATACTGTAGCTACTCCAGATTGCATAATAAAAGGGAGGGGGTCTCAACCCTCCCAGACGAGAAGCTTTAGACCCCCCCCCCCCGGGAGAACCCCTGAAGCTAACCGCGCACATCTGTTTCAAGAGCTCGCACGGGTGTCACGGCTGGGAGGCGGCCCGTTCTCAAAACTATATGTAGCTCTCGCTTCCAAGCCGCGCAAAGTCGTCGCAACAGCTTGCAGAAGTTTCACGGATGGGGGACGACTCCCTTAAACAAATCAGCTTAGCGCCGCCCGCATCCGCCTTGAAGATTGCGACAGTTTCAGAGTTTCGTATTGTTGAAGTCCACGGACATGTTGTTCGGGCGCGATTGAGGATTGTCAGGACGCCACAGTCACGTTGATTCGCAGTGTTGAGGTCCCAAGAGCGGCGTTCTGGCGAGCTTCAGGATCGTCAGGTAGAAACAATCATTTTGATTCACGGCGTTGAAGTGGCAAGGATAACGTTTTGGCCCAATCGAAGATTCTCAGACAATTGCCTTGCAATGGGGCACTTCCCGCAATGAAGCATCTTCTTGCAGAGATCTATGGAGGGGGAACTCTGAGGGATGGTCAATTACAACACCGTTGATCCTCCTCCTCCCCCTCCTCCTCCTCCTCCTCCTCCTCCTCCTCCTCCTCCTCCTCCTCCTCCTCCTCCTCCTCCTCCTCCCCCTCCTCCTCCCCCCCCCCTCCCCCCCTCCCCCTTCCCCCTCCCCCCCCTCCCCCTCCCCCTCCCCCTCCCCCTCCCCCTCCCCCTCCCCTCCCCCCCCCCCTCCCCCCCCCTCCCCCCCCCCCTCCCCCTCCCCCTCCCCCTCCCTCCTCCCTCCTCCCTCCTCCCCCTCCCCCTCCCCCTCCCCCTCCCCCTCCTCCTCCTCCTCCTCCTCCTCCTCCCTCCTCCTCCTCCTCCTCCTCCTCCTCCTCCTCCTCTCTCCTCCTCCTCCTCCTCCTCTCCTCTCCGCTCCTCCCCTTCCTCTCTCCTCCTCCTCCTCCTCCTCCTCTCCTCCTCTCCTCCTCCCTCCCGCTCCTCCCCCTTCTCATCCTCCCTCATTATCCTTCTCCTCGCTCCCCCCTCCTCCCTAGCCCCCGCCTCCTCCAGATCCTTAGCTGCCGCTCCTAGCCTTCCTCGTCCTCCTCCTCGACCCGTCCTCATTGTCCATCCTTCTGGTCTTCCCCCCCTCCTCCTCCACCTCCTCCTCCTCCTCCTCCTCCTCCTCCTCCTGTCTCTGAGCCTTCTCCGCACCGCCCTCATAGTCCTGCTCCTCCGCCGCACGCGCCTCCTGGGATGCAGGAGGCATGGGGGAACGGAGCAGGGAGGAGGGACGCCTTTCCGCCCCCCCCTCGCCGGATGCGTCTCGCATCTGCGGGTCGGCCCTCGCCGCGATGAGGAGCCGCACGCAGGCTGCGCCTCGGGAGGCCCGGGTGAGCGGGCCTCGACCCGTGCCGCTGGAGGGCACACGTGTGCGAGCCGCGGCGGGCCCTTGTCGTGACGGCCCGTGCCGTGGCCTCTGACTCCGAATGGGTTGATAAACCACAGAGAGAGACCCCTAACCCTTTGGGATGGGACCGGAGTTAGGAGGGCCAGACACATTAGGTATATGGGAGCCTTTTCCCGCAGAGGCATCGAACCGAGCCTTTTTGTGTGGTGGTGGTAATAAGAGCTGACCTCATGTGCTCTTGCATTGCAACGCAAAGACGGGGACCTCAGTGAGGCCACGTCTTCACTGTGTTATTCGGGCTAGGGGTCATCATACTCTCGATGCTGGGTGTTTCAACCTTGAATGGTCGCCGCCTTGCGATGGCGCGGGTCATTCCATTTCGGCTGGGTCCGGGCCACTGGCGGCGTTCGGCCTTGAACGCTGGCGCTGGGGTCGCCGTCATATCGACACGCCGCACTGCGGCGCGGACCTGCCCAATCGACACCCTCCCTTCTTCTCTCTGGTCGAAGCAGCACGAAAATAGGGGTGCAAGACCCTCGGAGTCCCGAACGGAAACAGTTGCAGCGGCATCGTGGCGACAGCTCTGGGATCTATGACCAGCTGGGCCGAAGAGGCAAGCATGCAAAAGCAACCTTGATTGCCGATTGCATGGTTATTGCAGGCTGTGACTGCACCCTCCCTATCCTGCCCCCCGTCCTCCTCACTGGCCTCACCTGAACCGTTCATCCCCCTCTCCCTCCATGTGTCCCCTCTTTCTCCTCTTCCTCCTCCTCCTCCTCCTCCTCTTTCTCCTCTTCGTTCTGGTCCTCCTCCGCCACCTCCTTCTGATGCTCCTCCACATATGTCTGATCCTCTTTCTCCTTTCTCCTCCCGCCCCTGTACCCCCTCTCCCTTTTCCTCTGTCCACCCTCCTGCTGCTGCTGCTGCTGCTGCTGCTGCTGCTGCTGCTCGTCCTTCTCCTCCTCCTTCTCTTGCCCCCCCTCCTACTCCGCCTCCTCCACAAATCCTCGACCATTTGCTCCTCTTCCTTCTCTCCCCTCCCCTCTTCCTCCCTCTCTCTTTCCACTCTCTTCGTCCTAAGACGACGGCATAGTGATACAAAACGGCGTGACCTAAATCTTCGGAGGTCCGCGAACTTCTTGGATCGGCGCTAGACTCCCGCCTCCATCATCCACCTCCTCCTCCTCCTCCTCCTCCTCCTCCTCAATCCTACCTTCTTCCATCCCAGAACTCCAACGTCGTCTTTCTTCCGCAGCGTGGACCCCCTGAAGCCTGGACCTGCTCCGCGGGACACGGCCGTTTTTTAACGGCCCCAGGGACACGTCATGACCCCCGGATGCCGAAAACTGACCAGACCCTCCCGCCGTGATCTTCCACGACGCGAGCATGTCCAGGACTTCCTCCTTCAATCCCCCTTCCTCCTCCGCATGCGCCCGACCATCGGGCCTCCTCTCCCCCGCGCCGGGTACCGACACTGCCACTCCCCGGACCTCTTCAGGGATGCGCTCTGACCAGCATCTCGAGACGAAGCCAGCCGTCGTATCGAAAAGTGGGTAGCGGCATCGGCATCTTTCTCCTTTCTCCTCCGAATTCTCCTTTCCAAATCCCTCAGAACTCCTCTCTTCCGCCTTCCGAACTCATCCTTCGTCCTCCCAATGCCTCCCTCCGACTTCCTCCTTTCCTCCATCGGCATCTCCCCCTCCGAATTCCTCCTCCTCTCTCCTTCCCCCGCCGCACGCGCCTCTCCACCGAGCCTCCCAGGGGCGTCCAGGAGGGGGGGAGGGCAAAGAAAAGGTTGAACACGTTGCCCGAAATGGATAGGGAACACATGGGTAGAATGCCCAACAACAAATGTTGTCCCAAACCAACAGCGGCCGCTGTTGGGCAGGCGACCTTCCGTCCCAATGTCTCAAATGAACACAGGCCGCGGCTACACCGACAGCGAATCCTGTTCAACATGATAAATCACTGCTGTTGGTCTTTGTACCCATTCTTTCCGCACCCATTTCGATCGTCTCGATATCATGGTCCCGGCCAAGATGCTCCCCCCTAGTCATCACCCCGCTCTTGGCTGCCCCGGACACCCTCAAGGGCAGCCGAAAGCCTGTGGAGGAAAGCGGCGGACGGAGACTGGCAAGCCCATAATCAGTCCTCGAACCCCTCCCAGGGTCAAACCGAACCAGCTGTCCAAACTGCGTCCAGCCGTGGCGACGAGGAACCCTCCCGAAGTGTCTCAACTGGGCCTCCTCGGATGCTTCCTCCCTCTGCCTGGGTAGTCGAAGCCAATCTGGCAGGCCCGATCTGGCAAAAGGGGGCAATCTGGCGAGGGAGCCAACGCGAATCCAGTCCGGCGAAAAACCCAGATCATCCAGTTTGGCCGGGCCAGATTGGCCCTCGGGGCCCAATCCAATCTGACAGTCTGGCCTTCGACTGCCCAGTCTGCGATTGGCGCTGACAAAAATTGACGCCGTCGTCGTCAGCCCTTCGCGGGGAGGAGGAGGAGGAGGAGGAGGGAGGAGGAGGAGGAGCAGGAGGAGGAGGAGGAGGAGGAGGAGGAGGAGGAGGAGGAGGAGTGGGAGGAGGGAGGAGGGGAGGAGGGAGGAGGGAGGGGGGAGGGAGGAGGAGGGAGGAGGGAGGAGGAGGAGGAGGAGGGAGGAGGAGGAGGAGGAGGAGGAGGAGGAGGAGGAGGAGGCACGGCATCTCTGTGAGGCGATCCCCCCCGCGATGGCCCCCCCTCTGTGCGCGCCCTTCCTCTGCCGGTGCCTCTTCGGCGGCGCGCTGTCCCCGAGGTTGGGGACAGCGTGCAGTGAGCGGGCCGGCGGCGTCACGCCGCACGCCATCCTTGCAACGCCAACACATCGCGAACCGTTTCCGGATCGACGGGAGCACCGCACAGCAAGAGCACCCTTTCCCAGAGGCCCGCGCGGAGTTCCTGGATCGGCGCTGGATCCCCCTCCCTGGCGCACGGAGCGCGCCAGGGGCGGCGCCGGAGGCGCTGCCCACGCGCCGATTCAAGGAACCCGCGCGGACCTCAGACACCAGTTTTTGTTCCAGGATCCTCCTCCCTCCTTCCCTCCTGGTCTTCGTCCTCCCTGTCTCCCTGGATCCTTCCCTGCCTCCCCAGAGCCCTCCTCCCTCCTCCCTCCTGGTCCTCGTCCTCGACCTTCTCCTCGTCCTCCCTCCTTGTCCTCGTCCTCGTCCTCGTTCTCCCTCCTCCTCCTCCTCCTCCTCCTCCTCCTCCTCCTCCTCCTCCTCCCCCTCCTCCCTCCTCCCTCCTCCCTCCTCCCTCCTCCCTCCTCCTCGACCTCCTCCCTCCTCCCTCCCCGCCCTGCTGCCCCCTGCCCCCCCCGCCCTCCCACGCCCGCGCGCGACGCGAGCCGCGCTCCGAGCCCCGTGCGCTTGTCCACGGGGCCCCGGCCCATGGCCGCGGCGTGCAGCGGCCCCGAGCCCCTCGGGGGTGCAGGGCGGGGGGGGAGGGGGGGAGGGGAGGGAGGAGGAGGATCTGGAGGAGAGGAGGAGGAGGAGGGAGGAGGAGGAGGGGAGGAGGAGGAGGAGGAGGAAGGAGGAGGAGGAGGAGGAGGAGGAGGAGGAGGAGGAGGAGGAGGAGGAGGAGGAGGAGGGAGGAGAAACAGGACGGAGGACGAGAGAGGACGAGGAGGTCGCGGACGACGACCAGGACTGGGGAGGAAGGAAGGAGGAGGGGGGAGGGAAGGGAGCCAAGGCAAGGCCCTCCCCGCCTTCCCGGGTCCCTCCCTCCCTCCTCCGCTCCTCCGCCTTCCTCCTCGGTCCTGGTCGTCGTCGAAGACCTCCTCGACCTTCCTCGTCCTCCCTCCTCGTCCTCCCTCCTTTTCCTCCTCCCTCCTCAATATCATCCTTCCTCATCCTCATCCTCCTCCTTCCTCCTCCTCCTATCTCCTCCTCCTTCCGACCCCTCCTCTTCCTCCTCTTAGATCCTCTTCCCCCTCTCCCACCATTCCATCCTTTTCCTTCTCCTCCTCCTCCTCCTTCCTCCTCCGCCTTTTCCTCGTCCTCATACTTTGTTCCCGTACTTCTCTGCCCGCGTGGACCCCAGACAATGACTTCTTGTCCTCTGGATGCGGACAAGATGTGGAGCAATCTCAGTGGTGCAAGCTGTGCGGTGCATCCAAACGATTGAACGTAGCGTATACTGTAAGCCATGTGGGTTGAGTTTTGTGATGCAAGCTACATGATGCAGCCTTTGCTGTACAATCTGTGTGTTGAACGCCACGTGTTGCAAACCATGTGGTGCAGGTAACTAGGAGGAACTTGAAGTCGTCAACTCTACACCCTGCGAAATGCTTAAGAAATCATGGGTTAAGAAACTCAGAGTCTCAGAACTTGAATAACAACCCAGAACTTCTATCAAAATCTTGGGATTTGCATGGAACGTTAAGAATAATCGAGACTCTGGCCGAAAACTTAAGTTTTCTTAAGCATCGCCTAAGGTGTACTGCTCGAACCATCGTCCCACCATCCCAACCGCAACTCGCTCGGCAAACTCCATCCAGATACGATTGCGGCTGGCGATTGGCACTTGCTGGCGCAGGTCCGCGGCCGCGTTGGCACACGAACGCTCGCGCGCAGGGCAACCAACTGTTCTGGCGCAGTGGATGCGGCCGCGATGGCGCTTACTGATGGGAGTTCCCCAGCGCGTCTCAAAAGCAACATTGGCGCGTGGGCACTTCCCCAAGACGGCCCAGGAGGCCTACAGGACGCCCAACGATGGCCTCCCAGGCGGCCCTGACCGCCCCAACAGGGCCCTACGTCGGCCGTGCAACGCCCCGCACTACGGCCTTGACACGGCGCCAGATGCGGGCCCGAAGGGCTCTCAGACGGTTGACGAGCCTCCCGAGGAGTCTCCTTGGAGGCCTCCAAGATGCCCAAGGAAGCCTCCCAAGAGGACTCCAAGAGGCCCCCTTGGAAGCTCCGAGGAGGCCCGAGGCCCCAAAGAGTAGCCCAAGAGGATCCCAAGAGGCCTCCTCCCCCTCCTTCTGTTTCCTCTCTCTCTCTCTCGCTCTCTCTCTCTCTTTCTCTCTCTTTCTCTCTCTGCGTCTCTCCCCCACGGGCTCCTCGAAGGGTTTCCACAACGCCTGGGGGAACACACAGTCCGATGGCTTGGCTGAGTTCTGGCCGCAACGTTCGGCCACCTAGGTGCTTTCAAAAGGCAGGGGACGGTGGTGATTTATCGCAGGCGCCTTCGATGCAGATGTGTGGTTGAAGCTATGTGGTGCAAGCTATGCGATGCAATATCTGCTATGCACGCTATGTTGTGCAAGGTATGTGGTGTGAACCGCAGCCGGTGGCATGCAACGTACCTGGTGCCGCTCACGGAATGCCTCCTGTGTGGTGCAGCATCCGTACACTGTTAAGGGATGCAATGTCTGTCGCCGTGCCTGCACGATGTGGGCGTGTTATCATGCCAGGTGCTGTTCTGCAGGTTTCTGCATTCTTGTAATGGACCCCCTCCGCCCTACTACCAGACAATCGCATGCACCCCCCTGCTCCTGATGGCACGACTCCTCGTAACACAAACTATGGACCCGCGCTCCCAAGCTTCCAATGCGGCCCGGGCAAACATCCACAACAACCAAGATGGCCCAAGTCGTCTCGAAGACGGGCCACGATGGTCCCTAGGCGGCCGAACGTGTCCTCAAGACAGCCCAACATGCCGCCACGAGGGCCCAAGCGAGCCCTAACATGACCTCGAACAAGCCCGGAGTAACTGACAACAATGCCCCTTGGGCGTTTCAAGCATGTTCGCATTCTCGTAGTTTCGGACTTCCGTCAACCCAAGACGGCCCAAGAATTCGCCACGATGGCCCAAAGACTGCCCAAGAGGCTCCCGCAAGGGTCCAAATATGGCCCAAGAGGACCCCACGAACGCCAAATAACCATCCAAGTCGGCCCACGGCAGCCCACGCAAGCCTCATCTGGGACCCAAAACGGCCCTGGGCAGTCGAAGACTGCCCACGACGGCGGCAAGAATGCCGCACCAAGGACCCCAGGCACCCACCATGCTGCCGAGAGAGCCCCAAGACTGCCCAAGCGAGCCCCGGAGACGGCCCAAGAGGCCCCCCAAGGGATCCCCACCACTGCCTCAGAAAGGGCCACGACAACCACACGACGGCCCAGAGGAATGCCGTGAGAGCTCCTCAAACAGTGAAGGGCGAGACGGCGCGTCTCCTCAGGACCATCCGCGCGACTCTGGCGGCGGGGAGCAGCACCAAGACGATCGGAGGGGCGCAATGCGGCGTGCCCGTGCGAGAGGCGCAACGGCTGCTGCAGTCGCCAGCCCGCCTCAGGGCCTGAACGAAGGATTGCAAAAAAACCTAGGATTGCAAAAAAACCCTTCGTTCAGGGTTTTTTGCAATCCTTCGCTCAGGGTTTTTTTGCAATCCTTCGTTCAGGGTTTTTTTGCAATCCTTCGGTTGTTTTGCAATCCTTCGTTCGAGTCAGGGCTCTGGGGCGCTCGCCCTGCTCGGGGCGGGCCAACGTTGCGAGGAGGCGCGGCGAGGCGCGCTCGAGGCCTCGTCCTCCGACGGATTCCCCTCCCACTGCGTATGCCTCGTGGTATCCCTCCCCCATCCTGGCCTTGAGCCCCCCGCTTGGTCTCCCTCCTAGCGTCTACTCTTGTCTTCGGACCTCTTCAGAGAGGGGGCCCACTGCTGCACTCTCTTCTGGACCTCCGATCCGCCGTGGTCGGGGCCGCCAGAGGCGGCTCTCGGGGTGGAGGTGGGCCTCTGCTTCCTCCGCCATGGGGGGTGCTTCGGGTGGTCTTCGCTCGTTGCCCCTGGGGTGTGTGTGTGGGGGGGTGTGCGGGTCTCGCTGCATCCCACCCTGGGCCCTTGTGTGTGCGTCACCCCAGCGGAACTTCCTAACATACCGTCGGCGCTGATGGTGGCGGCCGCTTGACTGCGCGCCGAGGGGTGCGCCACTGGGCCCGTGCCAGCCCGCCTCGGCGCTGGCCAGCGCGTAGGCATCACTCTCGGCCTACAGAAGTAGAACTGGGGCGCCCCCCCGCCCGCAGGCCCGAGGGACGGTGCGGCGCCCCAGGGGTATTCCTTTTCCTATTCCTCCTCCTGCTCCTTCTCCTCCTTCCCCTCGTCATCACGGCTCGTCGACGCCTGGCGAACCAACATGACACACGGCACGGCCTCCCGTGCACCCTCGAGCAAACGCCAACCATAATGCTGAGCTGGTACGGTGGCGGGAGTTGCCGCAGGCAGCTGGATATGTTGCGCAGGTTGTGCACACACACACATATAAAATACATGCATAATGCAAACATACGTAACTATACACATACTTAAACCTTGCAGAGTGTGTATAAGTGTGTTTGTGTGCGTGTATATACATATAAACATAGACAAGCCCATAGACATACTACATTGCATGACAGACATGTTCCCTTACATCGCAGCGCGGAGAAGGCGGGATATGACCCCACATGGCGTTTGGGAAAGATTGTCCGACGGCTGTCCCCAGAAACATGTCGCAACGTTCCAGGCGTACAACCGAGGCAACTCATTGCACAAACATACATGCATTTATATATATACATTCACACATATCCAGATGTGTGTGTGCGTGTGTGTGTGTGTGCTGTGTGTGTGTTATGTGTTGTGTGTTGTGCGTTGCGTGTTGTGTGTTTTGTGTTTTGTGTGCTGCGTGTTGTGTGTGTGTGTGTGGTGTGTTGTGTGTTGTGCGTCGTGCGTTGTGTCTTGTGTTGTGGAATGTGGGTTGTGGGTGGTATGTGGTATGTGGTGTGTGGGGTGTGGTGTGTGGTGTGTGGTGTGTGGTGCGTGGTGTGTGGCGTGTGGCATGTGGCGTGTGGCGTGGGGTGTGCGTGTGTGCGTGTGTTTGAGTGCGCCGTTGAACGCAAGCCCGCGCACGAGGCGCCCACGAGCCAACAGTCGGGCAGACCCAGCCCACGCACGAGGCGCCCACGAGGAGGAGCCCTTGGGCGACGTCCACGGGCAGAGCCCGTGAACCGAGCACCGGGCCCACACACCCAGTGGAAGACAGAACAGGAACCTCTCAGTGCAAAGGCAACGTGAGGTACAGCCGACCCGTATTATAAGGATGCACGATGAGGATGCAAGGGCCTGGGAAGGTCGTCTCGAAGCTTTTCGAGCGGGGCGCGGCCAACGAAGGAGGCCGAGGATGGACCGATGAGACGAGGATGCAAGGCTACCCTTGGAAGATTGCCGATCCTGACTATGCAGGTTGACTTTATACGTGTATGTTTGTATATATACAGGTTTATTCATTCAATATGTAGATGTATATATGCATGTATGTATGTATGTATGTATGTATGTATGTACGTATGTATGTATGCATGTATATCTGTATGTATGTATGTATGTATGTATGTAGGTAGGTAGGTAGGTAGGTATGTATGTATGTATGTATGTATGTATGTATGTATGGTTGTAGGTATGTATATATATGTGTATGTATGTATGTAAGTATGCATGTATGCATGTATGCATGTATGCATGTATGCATGTATGTATGCATGTATGCATGCATGCATGTATGTATGTATGCATGCATGTATGTATGTATGTATGTATGTATGTATGTATGTATACGTTTATGCATGTATGCATGTATATCTTTATGTATGTATATATACATATATATGTATATATACATATATCCGCCAGTGCCTTTGCGGGGCCATCAGGATGCGAGGGTCAGGGTTGCTGCTCCCTTCGCGCGCGCTTCGCGCGCGCTCAAGTTCTAGCTAGCTTCTTGGGGCCTCCTCGAGCATCCTGGACTGCTTCTTGAAATCGTCATGGGACCTTCTTGGCACGTCTTCGGGGGCCTCTTAGAAAGAGTGTTGAAGCCTTTTGTGTGCCGTCTTGGGGCCTCTTGAAGCCTCTTTTGGGCTTCTTGGGGGCCTCTTGGGGCCTCTTGGGGGCCTCTTGGGGCCCCTTGGGGGCTTCCTGGGAGCATCTTGGGGCCTCTTAGGGGCATCTTGGGGCGGAGAGCTTGATTTTTCAGCTCGCGTTCCCTCTCTTGGGCCCCTCTTGGGGCCTTCTTGGGACCTTCTTGCGCAATCTTGGGCGGCTCTGGGGCCGTCTCGGGGCTCACTCGGGCCGTCTTGGGGCCCTCTTGGGGGTCTCTTGGGACGTCTTGCAGCGGTTTTGGGAGCCTCTTGGGCGGTGCTTTATCGCCGGAAACACGAAACAGCGAGAATGCAAAAACAGTTGAAACAAACCATGAAACTCAACGATTTTGCCCTCTCGGGGCGCTCTTGGGCGGCATCTTAAAAGGCCTCTTGGGGCGTCTTGGGGGCCTCCGGGGCAGTTTAGAACGCATCGCGTGTCGCCAGAGACCCCTGGACGGCGTCTTGGGGGTGTCTCGAGACCCCCTGGGGCCGCTGGGATTGCTGTCTGAGGGATCCCTGGGGCGGTTTTACGCCTCCCAGAGGCGGGCCCGGGCTCCATATTTGTGGTCGCGGTCCTGGCCCCCAGCCCCCGGACCCGGTCCCCGTTGTATCTATCTATCTATATATACATATATGTGTGTATATACTTATATATATGTATATATATACACATTCTTATACATATATATATATATATATATATATATATATTATATATATATATATGTGTGTGTGTGTGTATCCGCCGGTGCCCTTGCGGGGCCATCAGGCTGCGAGGGTCAGGGTTGCTGCTCCCTGCACCAGTTGCAGTTTGCGGTCTGCCAGTTTCCAGTTTCCAGTGCTGCTTTCTGCTTCCTACTGTAGACCATTTAAATTGTTGAAGTCTGCGCGGGGGGGAGCTGAAAATCGTCCAGCTACCATCCCCGAATCGCGTTGTTTGAATTTCTGCGGTGCCGTGGGACACGTAAAAATGAACGATATTCGTGCTCCCGACGTAATAGTCCGCTCTGCAAATTGCGCCGTATTCGCGCTCCCGAAGCCACATTTCCTCGCAAAAATACGCCGTATTCGCGCCTCCGAGGCCACGATCTCCCGTGGATTACACTACAGTCGCGCCTCTGGACTCACGATCTCTCGCAAATTAAAATGCACAGGCGCCCCCGCGGCTACGATTTCTAAAAAAATACTCCACGTTCGCGCCCCCGAGGCCACGATCTCTCGTAGATTACGCCGTGTTCGCCCTCCCGAGGCCAAGATCCCATGTAAATTGCACCACGTTCGCGCCCTGGAGGCCACGATCTCATGCAAGGAGGCCCCAAAGAGCCCCAAGATTGCCCCAAAAGGGGCCCAAGCAGGGCACCACGAACCGAAAATTATAAATTTGTGGCCCGAGAAGTCCCCAGAAGGCCCCTAGAGACCGCCGAGAGGCCCCAAGAGGCGCCCAAGACGCGCCCAAGAGGCCTCCGAGAGGCTCAAAAGACACCCCACGAGGCCCCAAGATGCCCCCAAGAAGCGCCCAAACCGCCTCTAAGAGGCCCCCGAGAGGCTCCCCATGACACCCCAACGCATATACAAGAGACCTCAGACCCACAACCCAGGCACGGTAGGGGGATGAGCCGAAAGCCACTAGGAAAACGCCAACGTCTCGATATGTGCTGATGATTCCTATCCGCTCCCGCATGATGTTCCCAGATGCGCCAAGGCAACACCGAGACGCACCGACGCGACTCTGATATATCCCATTATGATAGAGAGGGGGCCGGCGGCAGGGGGCGAAGCCCTTACGGATACTTGTACAGAATGTATGAACAACGGATATACATACAAATGGATGTGCGTGAAACAACTCGGGCTTCCTCGAGCACATTATCAACACACCACTCTACATCACTCTACATGCAGAAGGTGGCCGCAACTCGCAGACCGCCGGCAACCAGAACCCGCAGCGGGAGGAAGGGCATGCCAGAAGAACGGAGGGAGCGTGATCCACCGCCGCTTTACTTTGGAAAACTCCTCCCCCTCTTCCTCCGTACCCCGGGGGTCCCCCCCCTTAGAAAATTTCCCCCCCGGCCCCCCCCCTAACCCCTCCCCCCCCCCCCTTTTCTGGAAAGCCAGGGGAGTCCCTACCAGTTCGAACCCCCCCTCGCCGCTGGCAAAAGACTCCCGGGTCCCCACCACCGTCCTCACTACCGCCCTCACCGCTGTCCCCACCACCACCGTCCCCACCACTGTCCCACTGTCCCCACTGTTCCCACCAGTCCCCACTGTCCCCACCAATGTCCCCGCCACCGTCGCACTGTCCCCACTGTCCCCGCCACTGTCCCCACCGCGGTCCCACTCTCCCCATTGTCCCCACTGTCCCTCCCCACCACTGTCCCACTGTCCCCACCACTGTCCCAATGTCCCCACTATCCCCGCCGCTGTCCTACTGAGCTGTCCCACTGTTCCCACCACTGTCCCACTGTCCCCACTGTCCCCTCCACTCTCCCCCCTGTGCCGCTGTCCTATTGTCCCACCACCGTCCTCACCACCCCCCTCACCACTGTCCCCACCACCACCGTCCACACCACTGTCCCCACTGTCCCCACCACTGTCCCAGTGTCCCCTCACCACTGCCCCAACCACCACCGTCCCCACCACTGTCCCCACCACTGTCCCACTGTCCCCACTGTTTCAACCACCGTTCCAACTTTCCCCAGCAGTGCCCCCACCACTGTCGCACTGTCCCCACTGTCCCTACCACTGTCCCCACCGCGGTCCCACTCTCCCCATTGTCCCCACTGTCCCCACCACTGTCCCACTGTCCCCACTGTCCCCACCACTGTCCCCACTGTCCCCACCGCTGTCTCACTGCGCTGCCCCACTGTCCACACTGTCCCCACCACTGTGCCCCTGTCCCCACTGTCCCCACCACTCTCCCGGCTGTACCACTGTCACACCACCGTCCTGACCACCGCCCTCACCACTGTCCCCACCACCACCGTCCCCACCACTGTCCCACTGCTGTCCCCACCACCACCGTCCACACGACTATCCAACTGACCTCATTGTCCATTCTCCCCACCACTGTCCCACTGTCCCCACAGTCCCCGCCACTCTTCCCACTGTCCCCCCCAGTGCCCCCACAACTGTCGCACTGCCCCCACTGTTCGATGTTCCCACCACTGTCCCCACCACTTTCCCACTCTTCCCACTGTCCCCACTCCTCACCACCATCCCCACCACTGTCCCAACCACTGTCCCCACCAGTCCCCCATCCGGAGTGGGAGAGCAATTGGTGGTAGTGACCCCCCCGGTTTTCCAGGAGGAGGGGGGGGAGGGGTTCGAACCTGTAGTGACCAGTGACCCCCCACCCTTTTCATGATGGACCGGTTGGGGAGGGAGAAGGGGGGGTTGGAACCTCCAGTGACCCCCCCCTGGTTTTCGAGCGGGGGGGGGGAGGGTTGGAAACCCCCAGTGACCCTCCCAGTTTCCTGCCAGCAACGGTAGAACACGCTCTTTCGAAGAACGTGAGGCCACTCGCCTCAGCTGGTTCTGAGCGTTGGGGTTCGCCTTCGCCTCGATCAGCGCTTTCACGGCGTTCGTGCTGCCCCAAATGGCCCCTATGTGCAACGCCGTCTGGCCCATCCTGCCGCGGGCTCGGCTCGCAGGACGGCGGACGAGAGGAGGATCAGGACGAGTGGAGGAGGAGGATGAAGCGGAGGATCTCGACGAGAGGAGGAGGAGGAGGAGGAGGAGGAGGAGGAGGAGGAGGAGGAGGAGGAGGAGGAGGAGGAGGAGGAGGAGTGGAGCAGGAGGAGGAGGAGGAGGAGGAGGAGGAGGAGGAGGAGGGGAGGAGGAGGAAGAGGAGGAGGAGGAGGAGGAGGAGGAGGAGGAGGAGGAGGAGGAGGAGGAGGAGGAGGGGAGGAGGAGGAGGAGGAGGAGGAGGAGGAGGAGGAGGAGGAGGAGGAGGAGGAGGAGGAGGAGGAGGAGGAGGAGGAGCAACAGGAGGAGGAGGGGAACGTGCCCCTGCCGCTCGGGCGTGAAAAGCCTCAGTCCTAGCCGCCGTGAACCCAGACATCCGAGCCCGCGTCATCGTGCCGTCGCCAGGAGCGCCCCCATCGCACGAGCTCTTTTTCGGTGGCAATTCATGGGAACCTCCCATGCCATCTTGCTGGCTCCCGCGAGTCGACGCTAACCGACGCTAACCAACGCTAACTCGAAGCTCATCGACGCTAAATCGGCGCTGTCTCATCGATTAACCACACGCTAGCGCACGTTAACGCACTCTAAAGACGGAATTTCGAGGCCATACAAGACTCCCATTGTCTGCTACCGAACTCATCGGGGGAAACTGAACCGTGAGGACGACCTACGAGGAAAGAGCGAGGAAAAAGGAGGGAGGAAGGGGACGGGGGCACAACACATCGGAGCACCAGACCTTCTTGGACGGGGAACTGCTCACTGCCCTGCGAGCGCAACCATCGTGAGGGAGCGGGACATCGGAGCTCCCGCCAAAGTGCCCTGGGCCGATCATCTAGTGCGAGCTTGATGTGCGGCGCCATCACTGGTGCCCCAAACAACAATGTAATGAATAGAACACGGCGGCCTATGCTTTAGACGCTCGAAATAAAAACGGGAAACCTGGGTACGATGCCGAACAAAAAACATTGTCCAATAGCGACAATGGCCGCTGTGGGGCAACCGGCCACCTCTCAATTGGACAACATCCGTGGGGACAACGGCAACGAGTCCTGCTCAAAATGATCAAGAACTGCTGCCGGTCTTCGTACCCATTCTTTCCGTACCCGTTCCGATCGTACCGATATGGGATGCAACCCCAATGTGGGGGCGACTCGAGCCGCTGCGACGTGCAACGAAGTGCTACCATCCTGCGCGAGCGGCTGTGAGTTCTAGAGAGGACAAAGACATTCCGAGTGCAAGCCTCGTGGTGCAACCAAACCTCGCAATTCATATATTGCTGTGATGGCATGGACTTATCTAGAAGTCAACACGGTGCACGAATGACTGAGATGAATACTAACTCAGGCAAGCTCGACACGGCCAAAGGGGGACATGCCATAAAAGATAACGTGAATCAAGCCAACCACCCCCGAGCTAACCCACACGGTAAGCTAAGATTGACGAGACGAATCTCACCTGACGATGGCCCAAGCACAACACCATTAAACTACATCGCTGATACTTCATACGCCAACTCCAACCACAACGAAACCAATACGTACACCCGTACTGCCGTCACAAGGTTAATTTTGCGGAGAAATCCCCTCTCATCTTCGACTCCTGAGAAGCTACGCGACTGAATATCAATCTGGTAAGCGGTCTAAAGCTACAGCTCAGCTATCTGAAACCTTGCCAAGCTGATCTGGACAAACTTGTACATCATTTTTTGAGGGGGAGCCTGCGAAGTTGAGCTTGTCTACCTCATGAACATATTGTGCAGAAGAACATACGCTAAGCTGACCAAATCCGCCATCAAGCTGAGGGTAGTAGGCTTGCTGCTCCCTGCTCCAGTTTCAGTTTCAAGTCTCCCATACTAAAGTCCTATGTTCACGTTGGGGGGGGGGGGCAAACCTGCCCACGCCCAAATCGCGTTGCCTAAATTCCTGTGGGGCCGTGAGACACGTAACAATAATTGAAATTCGCACCCCCGAGGCCGCGATCCCTTGTAAATCACATAAGATCCGCAGCCCCGAGGCCACGATCCTCCGTAAATTACCCCATGTTCGCGTCTCTTGGGCCACGACCCACCGTAATTATACACAGTTCGCGTCCCCGAGCCGACGATTCCTTGTAAAATGCACCATCGTCGCGCCCCCGAGGCCACGATCCCGAGTAGATGACGCGATGCTCGCATCTGGGGATCTTCTGACCCGGGTCAATCCAGATCCGGGTCAGCAGGAAACCAAAAACCGCAATACAGGAAAACAAACACTGCAACGCAGGTCTTCGCAAACCCGGGTCAGCCAATAGGCGCGGCCGACTCGCGGCCACGAACGGCTCGCTAACCCAGGTCAGCCAGAGGGGGTCTTTGCAGGATCCTGCAGAATCCGGTGCCCTGGCTGACCCCCGTCTGCATTGACCCCGTCTCTTGAGCCCCGACCATCCCCGAAGCCACGATCCTCCGTGAATGACGGCATGCTCGCGTCCCCGAGCCCACGATCCGTCGTGCGTTGCGCCACTTTCGCGCCCCAGGAGGCCACGCTCCCCTCGTAAATGACGCCGCCCGCGCGCCCCCGGAGGTCACCGGCGCCCGGTGCATTGCGCGATGATCGCGCCCCCGGGAGGCCACGATCCCTTGCAAATTGTTCCATGTTCGCGCCCCTGAGGCCACGATCCCGAGCACATTGCACAACATTCGCGCCCCCAAGGCCACGATCCTCCGTACACTACTCGATTATTCGCGTCCCAGGGCCCACGATCCGATGTAAATCACACCTTCTTCGCGTACCCGAGGCCACCATCCCTCGCACATTACTCAATGATCGCGTTCCCGAGGCCACGCTCCATTGTAGATTACGCTGTGTTCGCGTCCCCGACGCCACGCTCCCTGGTAAGTTGCTCAGTGTTCGCGTTGCTGCTGCGGTCTCTGACGAGTCACGCCGTGCCCGCGCCCCCGAGGCCACCATCTGTAGGAAGCTATGCTATATTCGGGGATGGACAGAACCCCCTTTAGTAAAACGTGGTTTAGTGAAAACGACCTGAGGCCCAAACCTGGCGGGCGCAAGCCTGGAAAATAACGGCCACGGCGCCCTCTCGAGAACCGAAAACGGACAATTCACTAATCGACGTGTCACTGTTGGGGGTTCTGTCCACCCCCGATATATGCACATCCCCGAAGCCACTGTCCTGTGAAAATGCTCCGAGGAACCCAAAGACCGTCCAAGCCACGCGATTCTGCCCAATGCAGCCCCGAGCAGCCCCCAGTCGTTCCAAGAGTGCCTCCAACACACACAGCGTGACGGGAAGCCCGAACGAGCAGCAACACAGGATTCACAGCAGCATCTGGATCGCACCTTGCCTTGAAGATTGCCGATCGCGCTCGCATTGGGTGCCGACATTGCTTCACGACGGCGCCCAGCCATCACAGGACAACTCCCGCATGCCCCATCCGGATAGGAGAGGGGGCGGCGACAGAGTGCGAAGCCCGAACGGATCAAGTTAAAGGGAAATTAGGACACACACATAAATACACACAAATAAAAATAGTCCCCATATTTTCCCATATTTTCTGGGTTTTTGTCTTCCCCCCCACTTCCAATATTTTCGCATATTTTCTGGGAAATCGCCGATTAATTGTGTCTGTGTGTTTCTTTCCCTCCTGAGTCATGCTGAACCCGACGAACATGCCCCCTGTTGAACGGAACCTGCTCAGGTGCAAGCTCCAATGCGCTCAGACACGCTGATTTGCTCTGGCGCACATGATAGGTCATGCCACAAGACTTGTCCTGTCTCGGCCATGGTACGCTTCGCGAGGACCATCTAGGCCAGTCCAGGCACGTGTACACAGAAGTACCACCATGCTGAAGTAATCGACTCTGACATGTTCTGGGCTAAACTCTAGCGGAGCGGACCGTGGTAGGGTCAACAGTATATGCGCAACTGTGTGCCAATTCACGCTGGGCTAGGGAGAGGCGAGTCCACGCTCCACGCGTCTTTGCTCCTGTTTACGGAGGTGATGCTGCGCCTCTGCTGAAGACGGAAACCGCAGGTGGCCCCACGGCACTCCTGTTGCCGAAGCTCGGTGGGCATCCCATCCTGACCAGCGCCTGCCAGGGTCACGACGCATGGAGAGTGTGGGAGGAACAAATGATGAAGAACGTGACAAAGCTCTGCATTCGAGCGCGCGGGCCAGAGATCCAAACCCACGCAATCCAACCATATCAAAAGAGGGAAACGCCGCGGACACACGGGGTGAACGAGGTCAATGAGAAGGAGGCAAGCAAACCCATAGCACCGTTGCCCGCACCACGACTCAAATCGACCAGAGAGCCATCAATAACCTGGAATCGAGGAGCCAGACTCGCGGTTCAATGAACACAACAATCAATGTACGACGGCTTCGAGATCTGAACCATTGGCCCAGCACGCCGAGTAACGGACAAGCCCGTGTGACTCATGCAGTCTACAGGATGAGGCAAGAGGAGGGGCATAGGATAAGTGATACAGCTGAGGCCATCCGCAAGAAACCTTCCACAAGAAACCCAACCCTGAGACACCAGGGCGTCCATTGATTGTCGGCGTGGGAACGTCACGCTTTCCATCGCAAAACCATCGAAACCCAAGGCACCCTGGAGTCAAGCAAGGTGTTGCTTGGCATGGGTCTCCAGTGTACCCCTATGCCGGCGATTCAAAGTTTGGTCCCTGCAGGGGCACTGAGGACGAGTGGCCTCGAACAGTGAGCATTCAGCTTGGGATTCTTTTCCTACCCTGAGAACCTCAGCCCTTAGGGGCCCATCTTTGAACCGCCGACCGTGTGCAGCTGAGCCTGCATGTTGCGACATACTGGGCATACAAGAACGAGTTCCCCCCAGAAAAAAGCCCACTGCTCCAGCCACCAGCACGACCTCGACCCCTTTTTGGCCAGCGGGCGTGCACATACCTGGAGGCGTCTGGCAAAGCTGGGACGCAGCAGTGCGAAGTGGCTGCGCTCATCTGAGGGGCAACGATAGGGGGGGGATAGGCATAGGGGGGGATGCATCGACTCAGAATCGGCGATACATCGCCGATTGATCGGCGATAGGCCACCGATGGCAAATCCGCACCTTCCTGGGAAGGTTGGGCTATCGTGCCCCTATCGGCGATCAATGGGCGATTGGAAGTCGATGCACCCCCCCTTATGCCTATTCCCCCCTATCGTTGCCCCTGATCATCGAGGAAGGAGCTGGGAGGGAGGGCCGACCGCGAGGGGGCGAGGAAGGCGGCGCGGGCCCCGAGATGCGCCAGGGGCCACGGCGACGCTGGCGGTGGAGTGGCAGAGGCCGAGCCGGGCGGCAAGCCACGGAGGAGGGAGGAGGAGGAGGAGGAGGAGGAGGAGGAGGAGGAGGAGGAGGAGGAAGAAGAGGCGGAGGAGGAGGAGGCGGAGGAGGAGGAGGGAGAGACGGCAGCAGGGGCGGCGAGAGCGGACGGGCAGCGACCGCTGCCACACAGAGCTGCCCGAAACGTCCACGGCGGCTGGCGGCTGCGGAGCAGGCCCCAACGCAGCGCGGATGGCACACCCCAAACGCACACTGCTCCGAGCAGTGTGCGTTTTTTTTTTTTTTTCGGAGGGGGGGCGGTCGTCGTCGTCGTCGTCGTCGTCGTCGTCGTCGTCGTCGTCGTCGTCGTCGTCGGCGGCGGCGGCGGCGGCGGCGGCGGCGGCGGCGTCGTCGTCGGCGTCGTGGTCGTCGTGGTCGTCGTCGTCGGCGTGGTCCGCAGGCAGCCTCGGGCTGTGGCCTCGCAGGCCCTCGCCTCGGAGGGCGCGACGAGGGAGCAGATGAGGAGGGTTTGGGGGAACACAAACCTACCTCGCTTTTGACCACCCTCGCTTCCAAGAGATACCAAACGATGCCAAATTGCAGCCTGTACTGGTCAGGCCCCTTGACGAGGAGGCGCGTGGCATGGCTTGGTTTTGTCTGGAAGCGAAAGCGGGGTAGGTAATTCACGCTCTGAAGAAGAACCACCGGGCCTCCGGACAACAATGACGGGAGGCCCGGAAATGGGCACCAACACCAAGACCAGGTGTTGCCTCCAGAGGGGGAAGCTGGTCCTGGATCTCGGTGTCGGTGGTACTACTTCGGTCGCCCTGGACGCCAGAGTATTGCCACCATCCCCGAGATCGGGATCGTCCTCCCTCGGTGGAGGCAAAACGACGCGAAGATCGGTACAACATCGGATCGGGATAACCCGAAATCTCTGAGAATCGGCGGGCTTGGAGGATGTAGTGGGCGCCGCGGCCGCTCCAGAGCGTTCCGGAACGCTCTGAGAGCGCTCCGGAACGCTCTGGAGCGATGTATCCCGATCCTAGCCCTGTTTTAGGAGGCATGCCGCCGAGATCGGGATCGTCCTCCCTCGGTGGAGGCACGCAGGCCGATCCTGGTGCCGGCGTCAACCTCCGGGCCCGCGGGGCGAGGGAGGAGCGGCACGCCGACGGACTCTCCCGGCGCCGAGGCGCGGCACCCCGGCGCCCTCCGCCGCCCCATGTGCTCGGGACGGTCGAAACGGACTGCCTACCAGACCACCCCACCCCAACCCGAAGACCCGAATTTGACCCAAATTTCGGGTTGGGGGGGGTACGGGCTCTACACCCTGCGAAATGCTTAAGAAATCATGGGTTAAGAAATTCATAGTCTCAGAACTTGAGTAGAAGCCCAGAATTTCCATCGAAATCTTAGGATGTACATGGAAACATTAAGAATAATCGAGACTCTGGCCGAAAACTTGGGTTTCCTTAACCATCGCCTAAGGTGTATGTGATTTTTCAACGTTCCCCGACTCCCCCCCCACTGGAAATCGGGGGCCAATGGAGGCCTTCGGGTCGGGTTTGTGGTGGCTTGGCAGGTGGTGAGAACCGCTGATCCGGGGCACGTGCCGAGACCGAGCGCGCCTCCCGACAAGCCTGGAAGGAGGACCCGCCGTCGGTGCCGCCGCGGGCGTCGGCCGCTGGACCCGGGCGGCCGCCTGCCGGGCAGCGGTCGCTGTCGGTGGCTGTCAGCACGTGTCGTTTTGGGCAGCTCATGCCAGACGTGCCAACGTGCACCCCGATCTCGGCCGCGCTCCCCCCCCCCCGCGCCTGTATGGTGTCCGCATCGTCGTCCCGAGCGGCGGACAGGATGGAATCGAACGCTCACGGGAGGCCCCCTTCTGTGCGTCAGTGCTCTGTATGTTATAGCTTTTGCTCCCTCGGGGGCTGGGGTGAGCGGGGTAAACGAAGAGACGGTGGGGAGGGGAGGCGGAGGATGAGGAGGAGAAGGAGGAGGAGAAAAAGGAGGAGGATGAGCAGCAAGAACGATTGACCCTGCTCACTGAACCCTTGAGACAGGATAGTGGGGATATTCCGCTCCTCACTCCATTCCTTCTCGGGAGGACGCTGGGCGAAGGTCGGCTGGGTGGAATCAACTCCTCCTGTTCCCCTATGCCTTGGGGCTCGCAACATGGCAGAAAGCATTCGAAAACCTTACTCCTCGAAGTGCTATCGTCCATCGTCCTCCTTCGCCTCTTCCTCCTTGTCCTTTGCCAGTGGCGAGAATGACCAGACTTTGGCACGAAATTGACGGGTCCTGAAGGATACGAATCCTGGACCCCGAGCCCTTCCCCCAAGACATGTGTTTATTTTCCTGAGCCGTCCTCTGACAACCACGGGGTCCGTGGAATGCCTCAGGAAACCCAAACCAGCGAAACGTCTCAGGACTTGGAGGCTTGGAAATGGGCACGAACACCAACACACGGGGTTGCTTGCCTCCACAGGGGGAACAAAATCATGGACTTTGCGGCTGGTGGTAAAATCCTTCGGCCACCGAGGAATCTCAAATATTCCCATCGCCGAAATCGGGATCGCCTTCCCTCGGTGGAGGGCGCCGCCGACATCTGTGCTGGCGCCACCCTCGAGGCTTGGGCGTGGCTTCATGGGGGGGTCACAAATGGGGGGGTCAGAAACGGTCCCCTTTCGTGCCCCTTTCGGGCCCCTCTGGAGCCCCAGGGGGCTCGCTTAGGTACCGTTTGGGTACCTTTTCGGACCACCCGCGACACCCCCCCATTTATGACCCCCCCATTACGCAGCGCCCAAGAGGCCTCCCAGGGGCCTGTCCCCGGACACCCGACGACGTGATACTTTCCGTGCGCGGCGCCCCGGGTCCGACCACCTTCCCAGGGACGATGCTCTTCGCCCACGGATCCATCTCTGATGGCCCCAGGGCCCGAGAGCGGGTCTCGGGTCGGGCGAAAGGGGGGGATGGCAAAGGGGGGGTTTGAGAATCAGCTCACGTGGCTGATTTTTCCAGCGCCTCCCGGCGCCGGGAGCGGCCATGTATCGAGGAATTGGCCCTTCGGTGAGGCCGAAACCAGCTGCATGCAGCAAATTTCGTAACCCCTCCCTTTCCCAATCCCCCCCTTTCGCCCGACCCGATTCCCAGGGGCAGACGCAGAGAAAAACGCTCGGATTGAAGTCACCCTGGCGATGCACCGAGCCCCTGCGCGACGCGTGGCCAGAACAGCCGGGAAGACTTCATATGGGGGTTGATCGCGTGGCAGCGAGGTCTATGTTCTGTGAACCTTCCTTTGGAGGCTCGCGAGCTGCGCGACTCGAAGGACACCGATCGATAGAGAAAGGCTTGATGGACGATTACTTAGGTCCCTGGGGCGAGGTCCCGCTCTGATCTGCGTAAGGCGTCACTCCGCTGGACCCCCCAGCAACCCTCGAAAATGACGACAATATTGCAATTCGCAGCCCCCCAATGACGGCGAAGTCCCGCTCTGATCTGCAGAAGACGTCGCTCCGCTGGACCCCCAGCAGTTCTCGAACGTGGCGACATGTTGCAATTCTCAGCCACCTAGCAACGGCGAGGTCCCGCTCTGATTTGCTACGACGTCACTCCGCTGACCCCCCAGCAGCCATCGAAAGTGGCGACAAACGCGCAACTCGCATCCCCCCAGCAACGGCGAGGCCCCGCTCTGATCTGCGTAAGACGTCACCCCGCTGGACCCCCGAGCAACCCTCGAAAGTGGCGACTGTTTCGCAGATCGCATCCCCCCAACGACGGCGAGGTCCCGCTCTGATTTGCATAAAACGTCACTCCGCTACCCCCCAGCAGCCCTCGAAAGTGACGACTCTCTCGCAAATCGCACCCCCTCAGCGACGGCGAGGTTCCGCTCTGATCTTGTTAAGACGTCGCTCCGCTGGACCCGCAAGCAAGCCTCGAAAGTGACGACCGTCTCGCAATTCGCACCCCCCCAGCGACGGCGAGGTCCCGCTCTGATCTGCGTAATGTGTCACCCCGCTGAGGCCCCCAGGCAGCCATCGAAAGTGGCGACACTGTTACCATTCGCAGCCCCCAGCGACGGCGAGGTCCCCGCTCCGATCTGCGTAAGACGTCACTCCGCTGCCCCCCCCAGCAACCTTCCAAAATGAAAACCGTTTCGCAATTCGGAGCCCCTCAACGACGGCGAGGTCCCGCTCTGATCTGCGTACGACGTAACTCCGCTGGACCCCCAAGCAACCTCCGTAATTAACGACAAAATCGCAATTCGCATCCCCCCAACGACGGCGAGGCCCCGATCTGATCTGCGTAAGGCGTTACTCCGCGGAACCCTCAGCAGCCCTCGAAGGTGGCGACAATTTCGAAGATCGCAACCCCCCAGCGTCGGCGAGGTTCCGCTCGGATCTGCGTAAGGCGTTACCCCGCTGGACCCCCCAACAACCCTCGAACGTAGCGAATGTTTCGTAGAACGCACCCTCCCCCAGCGGCGGCGAAATCCCGCTCTGATCTGCGTAAGACGACACTCTGCTGTACCCCCCAGCAGCACTCGAAAATGGCGACAATGTTGCACGACAAAGGCTACCCCCTTCGCAATCCGCAACTCGCCCAAAGACGGCGAAGTCCGCTCTAATCTGCGTAAAACGTCGCTCCGCTGGACCCCCCTTAAGCCTCGACACTGACGACCGTCTCGCAATTCGTGACCCGCCCAACGACGGCGAGGTCCCGCTCTGACCTGCGTAAGACGTCACTCCGCTGGACCGCCCCCAGCAACGCCGAAAGTGGCAGCAAGATCGCAATTCGCACCCCCCCCCAACGACTGGGATGTCCCGTTCTGATCTGCGTAAGAAGTCACTCCGCTGGACCCCCCAGGCAAGCCTCGAACGTGGCGACGGTCTCGCAGATCGCACCCCCCCCCCAGCCCCAGGTACGGGACAAGAGGAGAGAGAACGAGACACCGATATATAGAGAGACGCAGAGAGAGAGAGAGAGAGAGAGAGGAGGAGAGAGAGAGAGAGGGAAGAGAGACAGGGAGAGAGCGGAGGGAGGCGGGAAGGACGCGACCACAGTGCTCTATCTAAAACGGGAATCCAACAATGGAAGGTTGATAAACATGGGGTCGCCGTATACACGGAGGAGGAGGACCAGTGTGCACCAGCGATGTTGCATTCCACCTCCCCCACAAGCTCCTTTTCATAGGTCCCCACAAGCATGTAGCTTCACTACAAGAAGTGCCCCATTGGAAGACAACCGCCTGACAATCTCACATCGTGGCAACAAACCATTCCTGGGACTTCAGCAGCGCGAATCAACGTGACTGTTGCTGCGTCCTGACAGCCCGAAATCGTGCCAGAACGCCATTTCTAGGACTGCAACCGTACGGATCCTTGAAACCCATGAACACGTTAAGACGAAAGCGCGCGGTGCAAAAGCGAGAGCCACATTCTGAAAATGAGCAATTCTCCATCATCGAGGCCGATGCAAACTTGTAAGACGTAAATGCGCGGCGTTACAACGAGAACTACATGTTGACAAAAAACCGCGCTCCATGCTTCAACGGTCCAGACGGATCTGCGCGGCCCTAAAACGAGAACCTCATTTTGAAAACCCGCAAACCTCCATCAATGAAACCGTTGCGAAATGCGCGGCGCCATGGCAAGAACGCGCCCTCCATCCGTGAAACTGTTGCGAATTGCGAAATTCATGATCATGGAAGGTGGGGAAATCTCCAGAGAAACGCCTGGCCCAACCTACCGACAGGTCTGGGGTGGGACGGGGAGGAGGAGGAGGAGGAGGAGGAGGAGGAGGAGGAGGAGGAGGAGGAGGACGGGGACATGGAGGGGGAAGGGGGGGGATAATGGTGGGACGGAGGGAAATACTGAGGGGATGACGGATTATGATGACGATGATGATGATGATGATGATGATGATGATGATGCTGCTGCTGCTGCTGATGATGTTGATGATGATGATGTTTATGATGATGATGGATGATGTTAGATATATGAGTTTGTTGATGATGATGATAATAATAATAATAATGCTGATGCTGATGATGATGCTGCTGATGATGGTGGTGACGACGATGATTATGCTGCTGCTGATGATGATTATGCTGCTGGTGGAGCTGATGAGGAGGAACAGGAGGAGCTGGGTCTCCTCCGGGACCCGTCCGCCTCATAGCGAGTCGAGGGGGCCCCGGACTGGCACACGAGGGGGGAGGCCTCCCGGATGGGTCGGCCATCTCGCCGCCGCCGCTCCCGCCGCCGCCGCTCCCGCCGCCGCTGCCCCCCCGGGGTTGGGCCGACCCCATGCCCTGACGGGGCCTCGAGGGCGCAGCGAAGCGCGAGGAGCGCGGGGGCGAGGGAGGATGGCGAGCGGAAAAGAGGCAAGAAATCAGATGAAGGGAAAGTACCTGTGCCGCTACCCTTGCTTCGGCTTCGCTACTACGGGGGTCCTCCTGGGAGGCCATCGTCCACACGGCTGGATTCGCCTCGAAAGTCTGGTCAGAACGCAGCCTGAGAGACGTCCGGGGAGTAGCGGCAGCGGTATCTGTCGGTTTCTCAAGCAAGGGAATAATCCTTTAGGAAAACAGACAAGACATGAAGTAACGGGAAGATGCTGAGGAGAGGGAGGAGGTAGTGTAAAGGTAAGGTGGGAGGGAGGACGGATGAAGGGGGGAGGGGGAGGCATCATGTTGTCACTATGTATCCAATATGGTAACCCCGTGGGTAAACTTTGACGAAGCCATCCTTACATGTTTGAAGCCTCTCTGGACTCCTCTTGGAATGCACTACCGCCTTTATGTGTATGCATGCCTGTATGTATGTGTTTCTGTTTGTATATATATATATATACTAGAACCATCGCGCGCGCTTCGCGCGCGCTCAAGTTCTAGCTAGCTTCTTGGGGCCTCCTCGGAGCATCCTGGACTGCTTCTTGAAGTCGTCATGGGACCTTCTTGGCATGTCTTCGGGGGCCTCTTAGAAAGAGTTTTGAAGCCCTTTGGGTGCCGTCTTGGGGCCTCTTGGAGCCTCTTTGGGGCTTCTTGGGGGCCTCTTGGGGCCTCTTGGGGGCCTCTTGGGGCCTCTTGGGGGCCTCTTGGGGCCTCTTGGGGGCTTCCTGGGGGCATCTTGGGGCCTCTTGTGGGCATCTCGGGGCGGAGAGCTTGAGTTTTCAGTTCGCGTTCCCTCTCTTGGGCCCCTCTTGGGGTCTTCTTGGGACCCTCTTGCGCCGTCTTGGGCGGCTCTGGGGCCGCCTCGGGGCTCTCTCGGGCCGTCTTGGGGCCCTCTTGGGGGCCTCTTGGGCCGTCTTGGAGCGGTTTGGGGAGCCTCTTGGGCGGTGCTTTAGCACCGGAAACACGAAACAGCGAGAATGCAAAACAAAAAATTTGAAAAACAATGAAAACCAACGATTCTGCCCCTCTCGGGGCGCTCTTCGGCGGCATCTGAAAGGCCTCTTGGGGCGTCTTGGGGGCCTCCGGGGCAATTTAAACGCATCGTGGGTCGACGGAGACCCCTGGACGTCGTCTTGGGGGTGTCTCGAGACCGCCTGGGGCCGCCGGGATTGCTGTCTGAGGGCTCCCCGGGGCGATTTTCAGTCTCCCAGAGGCGGGCCCGGGCCCCAGGCCACACATTTGTGGTCGGGGTCCCGGCCGCCGGCCCCCAGACCCGGTCCCCCGTTATTATATATATACACACACACACATATATATATATATGTACACACAAAGGGCACGTCCGTGACCAAGATCATGCAACAAGCCATGGAGGGCCACCGCAGGGCTTGACACACCTTGCGGTCAGACGAAATGTTGAGGAGCACCCGCGTGGGCATGAAACAACCAGGGGTTGAGCGAAACTGGGGAACTACACTGGGAACCTCAGAACATGATCGACCCACGAACCTGGAAAAGGATATATCATGTAAAAGATGCGAAACATGGAACTTGCTCAAGACACCAAACTTTGGGCGACGGGCAATTGCAATGCTCAAGGGTAACGATGATGGTGTGCAATGCCAAGGGCTGTGCTGTGCTGTGCTGAGACGCGCAATGCCGTGTCGAAGTGCTGTGGCGTCAGAACCCCGATCGCACTGATCTGGATCTCGAGTTTGAGCTTCCACGCAGAGCTCAGATCTGGCCGCCATCGAAAAACGCGGGGCGCTCGGCCAGCTCGAGCTAAAAGATCCACTTCAATTCGGGAGCGGGACAAATCGAAAGGGGGCGAATGTGAACAAGTCTGTGCCCTGCTGCGACGTGGATCAAATCTTCCCTGGCATCCGAGTCCTGACAGGACTGAGCTGGGCCTCGAGGTCGGACTTCCTGGGCGCATTGCTTGCCCCAAACTGATTGCAACCGGGATCCTATGAACTTATGAAAGTGTTATGTTCGGCAACAGGGCGGAATTATGAGGGCGAGTCCAAAATCCAAACCGAGGCGACATACATCGAGAGGGGGCGGGCCGAAAGGCCGACGACCACAACGACGGCGGACGGTGACGACCGCGGCCGCGGTTCCAGCTCGGGGCCACTATGTCAGATATCCCCCTGGGTGACCTGTACAGGTGAAAGCACGTTGCTTCAACACGGGATTGTCATGTCAGATACCCCTCTGGGTGGCCTGGACACGTGAAAACATGTGGTTCCAGCTCGGGACCACAACGCGAAACACCCCTCTGGGTGACAGGGAACGTGAACACACGTGGTTCCAGCTCGGGACCACCACTGGGAAAGCTAGAACACCACCAGCCGAAGGCTATCCCGCACCTGGTGCCGCTGTGTTGACGTTGTCTGGCTCTTGTGAGGCCCCCACACTGGGGGCGCCTCGACGACATGTTGGATGCCCCCTCCCCCCCCACCTTGGGCGGCCCGCGCACGTAAAAACCACACACGGTTCCAGCTCGGGGCAACCATGTTAGAAATATCCCACTAGGTGACCTGGAAGCACGTGAAAACACGTGGTTCCAGCTCGGGGCCACCATGTTAGATGCTCCCCTGAGTGACCTGGAACCGCGTGAAGATACGTGGTTCCAGCTCGGTGCCACCATGCTGAATATCTCTATGGGTGGCCTGGGCACGTGAAAATACGTGGTTCCAGCCTCGAGCCACTATATTAGATACCTTTCTGGGCGGCCTGGGCACGCGAAAATGAGTAGTTCCAGCGAGGGAAAAGAGGGAACCGTCTTAGATACCCAAAAAACACATGGTTCCAGCTCGGGACCACTATGTTAGATACCCCTCTGGGTGGCCTGTCAACACGTGGTTCCTGCTCGGGACCACCATGTCAGATATCCACCCTGGGTCGCCTGAACACATGAAAACACGTTGCTCCAACACGGGACCATCATGTTAGATACGTCTCTGGGTGGCCTGGACACGTGAAAACACGTTGCTTCAGCTCGGGACCACCATTCTAAATACCCCTTTGGGTGACCGGGGCACTTGAAAACACATGGTTCCAGCTCGGTGCCACAATGTTAGATACCCCACTGGGTGGCCTGGACACTTGAAAACACGTCGTTCCAGCTCAGGGCCACACTGCTAGATATCCACTTGTCCACCTTGGTGACCTGGAGAAGTGACAACACGTGGTTCCAGCTCGGGGCCACCATGTTAGATACCCCAGTGGAAAATCTGGAAAATCACAAGCCCAGGAAACTGTGTCAAGCTGTTGCACATCCAGTGTCGATGTATTGATTTTGTCTGGCTCTTGAGGGCCCCCGCACGTTGGGGCTCCAAAGCGACCACATGTTAGATATTCCCCCCGTGGGTAGCCACTTACGAGATCGATCGTGAGATTGATAGTAAGATCGATAGAGGCATGGCTCGTGCGATCGATAGTGAAATAGAATGCGAGATATCGAGTGAGATCTATAATCAGATCGATAGTGTGATCTGTAGTGAGATCGATCGAGTGTGATCAATCCTGTGGGGTCGATAGTGGGATCGATCGAGTGAGATCGAAAGCGGGGACGATGGCGACATTACATCGCAGCGCAACATCGTCACCACGCGTCGTCGCTAACCCGAGGGCGCGTCACCAGCATCGTCATCATCATACCCATCGTACTTCTAAACCTCGAGGTATGTTCGATTCGAGTTGTGCAAAAAGTATCTTGTATATTCTACGAAGGCCGCTCGGGGGTCTCGTGAGGGCGACTCGGGCGGCTATTGGGGGCTTGGAGGCTGCCTCTTGGGAACCGCCAGGATGCTACGGGGGGCCACTTTGGCGCCGAGGGCGCTCGGAGGGGCGCTTGCTGGGTATCTTGTGGGCCTCTTGAGGCGCTTTTGGGCCGTCTTGGGCACCTCTTGGGATGTCTTGAGGCCATCTTGGGTTTCTTGGGGCCCTCTTGGAGGGCCTCTTCGACGGCCTTGGGGCGATCTTGGGGGCATCTTGGAGCCTGCTGGGACGCTGGTGGGACAAAACAGCATTTGCGAAGAATGCACGCTTTCCTGCAGGAGTGGAGGGATTTTTGCTGCCTGGTGCCATCAAAAGTGTTTTCTTGGAGCCGTCTTGGGGCCTCTTGGGGGTCTCTTGGGACGTCTTGAGGCCATCTTGGGCCCACCAAGAGCAATCTAAAAGCCATCTGGGACGTCCAGAACTTCTACAATGGGTCCCGGGACTTCGGGGAAGGCTCCGGGGATGTTCCCGAGGACGCCCTGGGGAGGAGGAGGAGGAGGAGGAAGAGGAGGAGGACGAGGAGGAGGAGCTCTAGGAGGGGCGGGGGCACTTGTAGTACTGTGGGTGCCCCTGGTGTAGTGCGGCCCCAGGGCCCCGGTGGGCTGGGTTTTCTCTGGCATCTCAAAGCATGCGTAAACAAACATGTTGCTGCCGCTGCGACACATGCGACTCGCCAAAATGGGAATTGGGTATACAAGGAGACGGCGAGGACAAGGAGGAGAGAAATGTAAATGTCAGGAGAACAATGGTCACCGTCACCGTGATAAACAAACCATCCTGCTCTCGGATCGAAGCCATCAGGGCAAGACTGATTTTCCACACTACCGTTTATCATCCTCGTAAGGTGTTTGATTCTCTCACTCTTCCTCTTCGAACAAGACAGCGAGGCAATGCTCCCTCGCCTCCGGCGCCGAGTGCTCCGCATGTGAGGTGCCATTACGTATATCCACTCGTCACTGCTATATCACTCGCAGAGGGGATCCCGGCTGGAGCGAGGAACAGAGAAGGAGAAAGGGGACACGGATGGGGATGCGGAGGTGAGGTGGAGGAAGAATGCAGCGACATCCCAAGCACAAAGGAATGCAATATTGAGAATACCACTCACACGTGCATGCGTCGACTCTCTGCGACCTCAACGGCGCACGAATTTCT